TTCTGAAGTAAAAAATAGAGTATTTTGTTTACAAAAATTGATTTGACCTTGACCTGACCTTGTTGGCGCCATCTAAGGTCAAAAATGATAAGATCAGTAAATAGACTATTTTAAATTATATAACTTTTGTATAGAACATTTTTCTCAAAAATTCTTACTTTTTAAGATATTTAAGAGGCCGAGACTTTATACACTACTCTGTACTTTTGACCAAGATTTTTTTAACGGATATCACGCAGATAAATCACATATTATCTTCTATTATAAATGACAGTTATGATTTGACAGTTATGATCTTTTCATGCTTATTTAATGTGTTACATATACGTACATATATGTATAGTTGTATGTTTTACAATATTTTAACATTGATCTGTTTCTGTGCAGTGATTCTGGCATGGTGACATCAAAATTAAAGGATTTTTTAATTTTGAAAAACGACGCTGGATTCGGTATTACTGACGAATTGTTCGAGATGTAAATGATACTATTTGGAACGGCGAGACTGAAGATACTTTTGATTTGCGCATTTTATTTTTTTTTTATACAGAACCATACAAATCGGAAAATTAGAATTGACAATAAAAATTAAAATGAAACCTCTTTTTAACAATGTACTTACATACTTTTGTTATATCCTTTTTATACATATTTCATATTTCATAATACAAAAACATCTATTTCTTTGAAGAATATTATAATTATGAACGTTTCTTTATATAGAATCATGTCAATATTATATATTTCTTTATATAGAATCATATTAATATTATTACAATTTTAATATATAATTGTGAGATTAAGTTTTGAAGAAATAATTTCCCATAAATATTTTTAATATATCTGAAAAACTACTTGAGTTCTCAAAAAATGTTTTGTAAAAAAGTTTTATGATAAAATTATTTGTATTCAACCACGTTAATAACTTAAAAAAAATTATTTAAACTTTTGAAAATAATTATTTTTTAAACATATTATTGTGGGTAAATACAGATAATTTTGTGAAACCTTTGTATAAAACATTTTTTGATATCTCAAGTAGTTCTTAAGCTATAACAAAAAAAGGTAAAATCCACGTTATATATCATCTACAAGGGGTGATTTCACCCCTTTAAAACCATTTTTCCGCTGCAACTGATATTTTCTAAATCCATCTTTTTAACTGTAACCTATATGTATATGTGCAAAGTTTCATTAAAATCAGAACTTAACACAAGCGAGGTTCTCTTGTCAGAGGTTCCCGTGGCAGAGTGGCAGCCTCGCAGGGACTCGGAGATAAGGCCTTAGTTCGAATCCCGACAGGAGCGAGCTGATTTTTTCGTGCTATCGGTTACGCTTTACTCGAATCACATTTCAAAACGTGCAATGTAAGTGCGTCCTAAACGAGTATTTTACAATCGTAGCTAAAGATACGTTTTTACATCTCAAATACACAACACGTATTTACCATTTAAAAATACTCATAATATAGACATTATTACCACTGAAAAAAAAAGTTGTGACAACTATTTTTTTTTGCATCATTGACAATTGTAGTGTCTGTAACTATTTTATAGAGTAGTAGCTACCCTAATCTATAGTACCCAACACTGTAAAAATATAGTTACGACAACAATATTTGTATATTATTAATTGATAATGAAATAGCATCTCAATTACATTAAATAGTCTTAGATCTCTTTTATAAAACATAAAAATTATATTTTTCTAGTTTAGACAGACACTTTTTTTAAATAGAGCCATTAAATAGTAATTAATTAATCATTGTAAGGTAATTTTAAAAAATATATTCAAAACCTTTTTACTAAGGTTACGGTCCACTTGATACTACGAATGTTTCGAAGCATTTTTTGACTGGTTAGTTAGTAAAATTCTTTTTTCCGATTGATCAATCAAAAGTTTCAAAGCGTTTGTAGCGTCAAGTGGACCGCACCCTATATTGCTCAGTCATGAGCAGTACGCGGTATTGTTACCAGAAGGAGTTCAATTTCTCTTAAGAAAAAAACCACTCAGCATACAATAAAAGACGCAGCATTGGGTTTGAATTTCGAAGATAAAAGTAAATGAGAGATGCGCCTCGACAGTACAGTTTTTAGTTTTGCAAAAATTAAGTAATCTTAAAATTCCTAGAAGTTATCTATATATATAAAAACTTGTAACTATGTATTATAGAGAGGGATCCGATAACGCACATCGCTAATAGGCCAATTTAAAATAAAATATTCTCATTGATAAAGCAGTGAAAAATTACTGGGTATCGGTCGATGTGTGCTAACGGGACCCTCACGTATTATAAATGTAACTATGTATTGTAAAAACCTATGAATAATAATAACTGACTAATATTTTCGCATAAACAACCAGCGTTGACTTAATGCTCCTTTTTATTCCTAGATTGATTTAATCACAAAGCCTTTTTGTTAAATATATTGTGTATTATAAAGTTTAAGTTTTAATAAGAGAACAATGAATAAAGTAAATGAACTAAGAAAATATAGTAATATTAATTTGTAATTAATTATCATTTGTAGTTAATTAATATTACTATATGATTAATATTACTATATTTTCTTAGTTTATATAACTTATTTATTGTTCTTATTAGAACTTTATAATACAGGGTGTTCCGCAATTTTTGGCAAAGCGCTCTCATATAGATAGAGCGGACTAAATTAAATCGAAAATAGTTGAGGCGCTATTTATCTACATAGTTACTGATACTACTTTTTTCTCTGAATGCACTCGGATATATTTGGATATATTCTAATGTGCCATCCGTTTTAACAACTTGTTTTTACGGAAAAGTTTCTGTTTGCGACCTAAAAACGGAGTCATTCTCATCAAGTGGAATGCACGTTTTCATCACTTAAACTAATCGTTTGCGCGAACTAAAAATGAGCTAAAAACGGTGAAAAATTTTTATAAGAAAAGTAACTAGTTTCAATTATAATTTTTTTGTTTTAAAAAATAACTCGATACCGTTACATGTTATTAACTCTAAAAAGTAACGAGTACGATTGCAAGCTGTTTTCCAGCTAGGAAACATTACGTTACATTGCGTTAGATTATAAAGTACTTGTTGGAACCACTGAATTATATCTATACTGGAATGATTCTTCCATTTACCGCTTTTATAGGATAACGAGCCTGCGACAGGTAGATTTTTGGGTATTGATGTCTCGTTCATACATCTATACTCATGCGCACATCTCCAAGAATACAGACAGGCCTAAAAATTTATGTCAGTTGACCAGAGTATATGAGGACATACACTTTTACAGTACAGTTAAAAGTTTCGAACTTGATTGTACGAGAAAGACACCGATACCCAAAATTTGCGCTCTCTCTTGACTCGCACCAGACTCAGTGATTATTCTAAGATAGATATAATTCATTGGTCGGAACACAATTTTGTTTTCTAGTGTAACATCAGATAGTATTACAGTCTTTTATTCTTATTTTTATGAGTATTTAGTATTTTTATAATAGATTTATGATTTTAATTTAGAATTAAATTATAAATCTTTTGAGATTGATAATTTTTTTATCATTTTATTACAAAATAAGTTTGGTTATTAAAATGTATATAAGTGTTATACAATGTCGACTTGTATAAGCTGAAACACTATTTATCTTTTCAGTTTTATCGCTTAAGTGTAGGGCAGTTACTTTACAAAACTTGTTATTGGGATTTTCGGTACTTATGCACGGTGAATTGTGATGAATTTGGTCAACAGTTTGTAATAATTTAATTAAGAAGAGTTAAAGTGCATCAAAAGATTGACCAAGTTTGCGAATGTTAATTTTAGCAAATTTCTATATTTATTTAGCGTTTATTCGATTTATCTATAGTATAATATGTATTTACAATTTTATCTTATTAACAATTTAATTTTATTAATCAATTAAATAATTTTATACAGATGAATACGCAAGAAAAAATTAGTCTTTTAACGAAATATATAATAAATACCAGTAAAAGTATAATCATTAATTATAAAAATTTTGTTAATTTTTAAAAATGTTAATTTTTAAAAATGTTAATTTTTAATTGCATAATATAATATTTCTATTGTAAATTTGTTAAAACATACTATAAAAACCACGTGATACAAGAATGATCAATACGTTATTAAATTAATTATTGTCGTACCCGATACACTTATCTTTGCAATAAATAATAAAATAATAAAGTATTTACTAAATATACCTTTCATAATTCAGAACACAATGATGATCATGATTGTTTAAGAGTATATATTTGTGTCACCTTGTTTATCTCATAGTAAGATACATCTATGATCGCTCGGGGCGGAGCATGTGTTTGCTTCAGTCCGAGTATTGCTGAATATTTTTAGAAATGTGCAACTTTAAATGTGCATTGTATCACGGCTCAATGAATCAAGTTGGAACAATGATGAAATTTTCATCAGGATCACGTAAACTACAAAGTTTTAGCTATCCGAGACCCATTTTCCATAAGGAACGTGCGGAGTCCTTTAATGTAACAATTCAATTTAGTTAACGTAATGTTATATAACAATGTTATATAATAATTTGACCGAAATCCATAAGATTTGTGCGGGATTCTTTAAGGCTGTTCTTTTAAAAACTTTAATTAGACACCATCTTTGTTTATACTTCCTTTATTTTTAAAATTAAATATATTGATAATTAAATAATGTATTAAAATCCTTATTCCAGCAAAATACATTTATGATATATATCTACATGAATAATAATTTGTTAATTTAAAAAATGTAAAACATTTGTATGAGCGCGCGCGCGCGTTTAAAAAATGTTAACAGATCTGTTCGATTTGCTTACACTTTTTACACTCAGCATTTTCGCTTTCTCTCTTTTCAGCGCCAAATATATATCTATCTCATTTTAAGTGTAAAAAGTATAAAAAAGTGTAAGCAAATCGAACAGACTAAATTAAAAAAATATTTTTTAATGTTACTTGTATATAAATATTAAATAATCCTTTTTTTTTCTAGGTGGAAGTATGGTATCACGCTGCCCGATTGTTAGCTCTTACAATTAGTTTACTTCGATTGTTCATATACTACACCGCGCGAAAAATTCTTGTTAATGAAACTAAGTATCTCACGAAAACATTCTTGACGTAATCCATTTTATTAATGTAATTCATTTTATTAATTGTGAATGAAATATGTAGTAGAATGATGAAAGCAGAGAAAAGAAATGAAAAAGAGAAAAAGAATTTATCATGCGATCTTATTCTTCTTTAACAAAAATAATAACAAAACAAAGGTGATTAATAAATTCCAAATGATTTTATGTGTACATCAGATATATTCGTACTTTGGTTTGTGTTTTATTTGAAAACGGCAAAAGAGATTTCCACTATATGATGTACTCAGTATCACACAAATAATACGAAAATGTCCCTTTTTGAGATTTCGTTACTGCTCTCGAGGGGACAATCACGGTGTAAATTTCGGAATGAACGAAGTTGTACATGTGTTGTGATCCTTATGTTCATGTCTGAAGGACGCAACACTTTGCACTCTCCCAGGCGACTAGTGTGTTGCCTTCTGACTGACCCTTGCTGCTTCTGATAGAGCCAGCGAGTGTTTGAATATATGTACCATATTCGTATTAATAATAATAATGATAATTGTGACAGGTACGTAATAAAAATTAGATAAAAATGAAAACAAATATTTATATGTACATACACAACACAACACACACACACACACACACACACGCATGCACGCGCGCACACGCACGCACGCACATGTGTATACAGAGTGTCCGGTTTTTGATAAAACGTTATTGAGTAGGTAGAGCAGACTAAACTGAGTCCTCTATATTTTACAATTTTTGCAATTTTTCTTAATTGAGCAGAATGTCTAAAATCGTTGCATAAAATAACTTTAAGATATCTAGAGTTCTTTCAGAAATATCTTTAAGATATTTTATGAAGAAATCTTAAACTCTAAAAGATATTTTAAAGTTATTTTATATATCAATTTTAGTCGCTTATTCGGCAATTTTTAGAAATTAATATCTCATTAACTATTACGAAAATTGCAAAATGGTAGACTTTTCGATTTAGTAATATGCTCTACTTGTTCACGAGCGCTTTGTCAAAATTTACAGGACACCCTATATATATGTGTGTGATGTGTGTTTGTATGTATGTGTGTGTGTGTGTGTGTGTGTGTGTGTGTATATATATATATATATATACATACAGGGTGTTTGGAAAATAATGATAAATTTTTTCTCATAGGGGCAGAATGGGCTAAACTGAGAAAAAAAATCCTCTACCATTTTGAAATTTTCGCAATAGTTAATAAGATATTAATTGCTAAAAATTGCCGAAAATTGATTTTCAATAATTTTTTACTCAAATACTATCAATTTTACACAAAAACTACAAGAGACAAAAATTGTTTATTTTCTCCTTATAGAGGTCTAAGATTTTTTTAGTACTGTATTTTCTCAAGTTGTTAAAAATGAGAAAATGCTATATTAAAAAGTTTATAAAAAATTCTAAAAAAATTCATCGAGTTCTATGAGAAGAAAATATACAATTTTTGTCTGTTGCAGTTTTTCTATAAAGTTGATAATATTTGAGTAAAAAATTATTGAAGACCAATTTTCGGCAATGTTTAGCAATTAATATTATATCTTGTTATTATTGCGAAAATTGCAAAATAATGAAGAATTTTTCTTTTAGTCCATTCTACCCCTATGCGAAAGATTTATTATTATTTTCCAAACATCCTATATATATGTATGTACTAGTATACAATACAATATATTATACATATACATAAAAAAAGAATATAGTTAATATGAAAAATAAAACAAGTCAAAACAGCACACACGCATACACACACACACACACACACACGACACACATAATCACAGAGGCGTACACCAAACTGCGATAAATGAAAATACATATATAAAACGTATATAGACCATGTGCTGCTAATATAGAGACTCCTGTGACTGAGTACTCGCGGCGAGTTGATAGTGAACAAATCTTTTTTTCATGAGCATGTAGCGGCGGCAAGAGATGGCGTACACAAGCACAATAGTTAACAAGTGATAAGATTCAATTCGTGCAGACGACGAACGGAGAGAGAGAGAGAGAGAGAGAGAGGTGTGTGTGTGTGTGTGTGTGTGTGTGTGTGTGTGTGTGTGTGTGTGTGTGTGTGTGCGAGAGAGAGAGAGAGAGAGAGAGAGAGAGAGAGAGAGAGAGATATGTTGTTTTGTAACAGAAAAAAAGAGAGAATGAGACGAAAGGAATAATAGGAGCGAGGGGATGAGAAAAGTATGCAATAAAAAGAAAAAAAGAAATAGATTTGATTGTACCAAAAACATCCGCTGCGTATAAATATTAATTATTTGATAGCGATATGTGAGCGGGCAGGTATAAGGATCTACTTTCGAAGCTGTGCTCCCATGCTGGCAACCGTAAGGGTCATTTTTAAATTTCTTACCATTGCATAATAATTAATGATACGAATAATGATAATGTGGTAACAATAAAGGAGAAAGACAAGTTAAATGACAATGATAAACAAATAATAACACTGTTTAACAAAAAAACTTTTATTTCGAATATCAAAATAAGATTAGTTATTTTTCATAGTTTTTTGTATGTTGAATATGAAATGCGTTTTTCAAATTGCTCCATTACGCCACAATTTTAAGAAATTTGCAATTCAATTCTACTTTTACATTGTTTATCATATAATAATAATAATGTATACTGGAGAAGTTTCAATCAAAATTAAGTATGTTGTTAGAATTTTTAGTCCTCAAAAGGATTTAGAGTCAGTTACTAATAGGATATCCAGAATTAAATACGGGATAGATTATGAACAAGCTGTGAATTAAGTCATTCATGATTTAACAAATTGCTTTCAATGCTATGTTTATTCCCAGCCAGCAGTGCAAAAATCACAGCTGAACAGGCTGTGATTTTTATAATTTAAATATTGTACCGGTATTGTGCAATTCAATGTTGTCAGATTTTAATTACTGTTTCAAATTATATCACAGTGCTAGCGTTAACAAACTGCTATAACAAAACTGCTATAAAACACTGTTACGCGTGTCAAGTTTCGTGCAGAAATATTTATTATGTCCAATTTTCAAGCAGCAATGCACAACATCGCCACTAAAGGGACACAGCGATGTTCAGTTACTCGTATTTAAAAAAAACCACATCGAATAGGATAAAAGGTGTAGTATGGTGAGAAATTCTCAGTGAAAAATTTCTATCCTTTTTTTTATAAAATGGTTGCATTCTTCTAGATCATCCAATTAAACTTTTAGATATTGCGAGTCAACATCTAAAAGTTTGTATACATGATGTATACATACCGCTATTGGTAGAGAAGTGAGATAGCCTATATTCTTTTTTCGCTTGGAGAAATTTGACGAAATCCTTATCGCCAGTCTCTGATTAAAGTGTCTCTAGTTTGAACTATATTAACAGTCGCACTCCTCCAAATGAAATTGAGAAGAGGTCTTCACCTCTCCTCTGAGTGCAATCATTGAGGAACTATTAGGATAAATCTGATTTAAAGTAGCGTTATTTTTCAGTATGTTTTTTTTTTAATTCGCTGAAGATGACTGGAAGTTAGTCGAAATGTCTGAAAATGTAAATATCGTCATATGTATTGATTGTTTGAATATATAATTTAACATTTTATGATAGTGCACCTATAATCGCGCAGTTATTTACTCTCACTTGCCCGTTCTTAGTTATTGTTACTTATTTTATGTAACCACTTATAATGTATTTTATGTGTGTGTATGTGTGTGTTTGTGTGTGTGTGTGTGTGTGTGTGTGTGTAACCATTTATGCAAAATTAATTATAATAAACGTTTTTTTATGCAAATATCAATTCTAAAAATTTATATATATTCGATTCATTTTTATTTCAATTTATTATTTAACAGTAGAAAATATGTTTTCATTCCAAAATTAATTTCAAATTTTTTTCACTTTCGTCCTTTCAAATAATTATGTTTTTAACAAGATGTAAAAGATACAATAATGCAATATTTTTCTTCTAAAAGTTCGAAGTTCTTACTTTCCAAAATGCATATTTTAAATATTTTTATAACTTAAATACGAAAAATAAAAATTTTTTAACGAAATGGTTTTTTTAAACTATTGTTTACTTTATTGCTTATAACTATTTTATTAATAAGAATACATTTGCTTGATACCGTTATATTCCTTATTGTCTAGCGTTTTGATTGAAAAAAAATTTGTTGAAATGTGTTTCTGTGAATATTCTGAGCAATCGAAGTTGCCTTGGATATGCTATTCCAAGTGTGGCGTTTACAATACAAAAATACTGGTCGAAGTGTTTCTTCAGGATTAAGACGATCTCAAATATAAGATCCGACTATATATAAGATCCAAATACCACCCTAATACAGCCTCCTGATTAGCTCATGACATCTTAAGACTGTACTTAAAGCAGTCTTAAACATAAGAATCGGCTATGAATATTGCTCAATCAATATTTAAAACTTATTTTAAAACCTTATGTAATATATCTTAAAATGCTAGTACAATTCTCTGATTCATGACATCTTAAGAATGTACCTAAAACAGTCTTGAATATAAGAATTGACTATAAATAACGACCTAAAAATCCTTTTGAGCTTTGAGAATCCTAACAACATGCTTAATTTCGATTGCAATAAACCTTCTCCAGCACGTTATATATCGTAATTGTGATGACAAGATATGTAAAAATAATTCTTTTTTGCAACTTTAAATTTTGCAATTTTTTTAAAATTGTGATGTGATAGAATCATTTGGAAGCCGAATTTGTATTCAAAACGTTACGATAAATGCGTAGTCTTATTCTGGTACTTTTTTTTGTCAAACAGTGTAATAGTTAATAGATAAAATATAATAGCTAACAGAAATGAGTGACCGCTCGCTCATACATATTTTCGTGAAGGTAATCGAGGAGAGAATGCTCGAAAACTGCTATTCACTTTTTTTTCTGCGATTACTTTCTGATGATCTTTTTCTCGTCGAACGTTTCTCACGATTTATATACGACTTATGCGTGCTTTGTGTTATGCTCCGTTCACCTTCGCTAAAAACTCTTAAGGAGACAGAGAGTGACATATACATATATAAATATATACATATATATATATATATATATAATTATTGTAAAATAATGTAATGTGACTTTGAAGACGTAGGTAAGAGTCCAAAAAAGATTCTTTACGCGTAAATAGATACACATTTATTAAATAATTGTCTAAATTATTTCTATTTTTTCGGTTGCTTTTTATGATATATTGTAAATCATAAATGGGAAATTAAAAAATAACGTTTCTTACTTGATAAATGTTTTGATAAATTTATGTAATCGATCTTGGCAAATAGCCTAAGTGATAATTTTTAACTTGTATGAAAAAAAATTTTCACGAGAGAAAAATCAAATTCCTGGAAAGATTACGAGAATTTATTACTAAAATTAAATTTCTGTGGTACATCTTGTACCTCCTATGACCATTTTACACATTACGATAAAAATGAACAATAATCTTTGTACGTGTGTGTGCGTATGTGTATGAATAATGTCAAATACGAAACAGTAATCCTTTGTATATCATTAAAAGTAATATCATTACTTTTAATGATTATATCATTCGATGAAAAAAATAATTTTATTTTTCATTGAGTACTAAAAATAACTTTATTATAATATTTTGGAAACTCTTGAAATCGGCTATTAGATTCTGGAATCAAAAATGATATTCCATTTAAAATAATCGACGTGACATTGACCTGATCTTGGCGACACTATCTAAAGACAAACTGATAAGATCAGTAAATAGATCTTTTTTAATCCAATAACTTTTACGATTGGACCTTCTGCGAAAATAAAAGGGTGGTACGAATGATCTGAAACATCCGGTATATAAACATATATAAACATATATAAATATGCATAAATATTTATAAACATATATAATCATATATGAAATATATTCATGCATGTTCATATTATCCTTCTTTTTTTGTAAAATTACTTTTTAATGTACTAAAAATAATAATAATAATGAGAAAACATGAAAAATAATTAAAGGGATAATTTTCGCATTGTTTATTTTAGAAAAAATTAAGTTTGGAAAAAAGTAAAAAAATTACAATATACATAACTATGTAATTTTATATACAATTATATATGAACAATCCTTTTATATCATCAAACTTGATTTTTTCTTAAAAATAACAATGCGAAAATTATGCCTTTAACTATTTTTTATGTTTTCTTATTATTATTTTTAATATACTAAAAAGTAATTTTACAAAAGAAATAAGGATATATTATGAACATGTATGGACATATTTCATATAATTATGTTTATGAATATTTATATACGTTTATGTACGTTTATATATATTTATATAATTATATTGGGTCATCTAAAAAGTATCCGCGGTTTTTTGTCACTAGATGTGTGTTGATGGTCATATATCTAGTGACAAAGTACCGCGGATACTTTTTAGATGACCCAATATATTCATGTACGAAAAATTTTTTTACTGGGAAATTAAAAGTAAATTTTTTCAAATGTATAATAATGCATTTTAAAACTGCACATAATTTTACATGATTGTTACTTTAAGTAAATTTAATCTTAATATAAATTAATAAAAAAATATTGCATCTAACAATTCGTTAAATTTTGTGAAATTTTTATTGCTTTTCCAATTTGATTGGGCATGTTCAAGTCTGGGGCTCTGGGCCCTTATTCTTGAAAAATATCACATACAAAAAACTAGGGATGTACAATAATCTTTGTAACATATATTATAGCATTTTCTTTGTTTTTTGTATGCGATGCTTTTCAAGAATGGAGGCCCTGGGGATCGATTCTGTATCTTGAAAATTATAAAAGTGAACGAATTTACTAGAATACTGATAATTTCATTGGTCAACACTTAATAAATTTGCTTACTTTCGTAATTTTCATCTCGTTTCAAGATATAGAATCGATCCCCAGGGCCCCTATTTTTGAAAAGCATCACGGAAAACTAGAGAAATGCTATAGTATTGGGTTATCTAAAAAGTATCCGCGGTTTTTTGTCACTAGATGTGTGTTGATGGTCATATATCTAGTGACAAAGTATCGCGGATACTTTTATAACAATATAACGCATAATATGGCATTTCCCTAGTTTTTCGTATGCGATACTTTTCGAGAATAGGGGCTCTGCCCGCTGACAATTGAATGTAATTGGATCTATAAGTAACCAATGAAGTTCATTTACTTGGCGAGCAGACTAGCCGCTTTAGAGTGATATTTCATTTATGTGTTTTTGTTATACGACAAATTTTTCAAGCCTGTTGATTGGGACAGAAAGATCCAAGATCTTTCTGTTTTGTACACATTTGTTATACGACAAAAACGCACAAATGAAATAGCAACCAGTCTGAAATGAGTCCAGTTTAAAATGAGTCTAGACATAAGGCACTAAATATGTAGATATTCGTATCCGCCATGTTGGTTCCTTTTTGGATTGGCTACATCTAGCAAAGAAAAGTAATCTACTAAGTTAGCGCTTAGTGATTCTTTAATATAATTGGTTTCTATTTAGATCCAGTGAAAAACTAAAGAACCAATCATATTAAAGAATCACCAAGTGATAACTAATTAGTTTTCTCTGCTGAACGTAGCCATTGATAGGTTATAGCATGATGGAATTATATAAGATGAAGCATTGCACATAATGGCGAAGTTCGACCAATTAAAATTGTATTAATTTGCAGTGTATTTATTTGCAGTATGAATCAAGCAAAGAACTCAAAAATTGATTGGTTGACAGATCTCCCCACTACTTTCGCTTTGTGCATCCGTGGGAATGATTCAGCTTACTTTTTACACCATGGGTTATACAATAGTACGACTAGTGATAAAGGTAAATGTTAAGAAGAGCCCAAGTTTTGATAAAAATATATGCTATAAAAAACGTTCTAACTCAACTCAACTCATGGCGTACTAGATCTCTTATAAGAGAAACGCGACCGACTTATTGGGTCATCTAAAAAGTATCCGCAGTACTTTGTCACTAGATATATGACCATCAACACACATCTAGTGACAAAAAACCGCGGATACTTTTTAGATGACCCAATATGACCATCAACATACATCTAGTGACAAAAAACTGCGGATACTTTTTAGATGACCCAATATATCAGTAAAAATACTAAAAAATACTAGAAGAAGTACTAAAAATAGGTCGTCCGCGTAATGGCTTCTGCATATTGAATGCAGAAACACTTGCCGCACAGCAAAATATGATGCGGTAACCAATAAGCTTACAACTCTTAATATGTTCATTGGTTACTGTGTCTTATTTTGCCGCGCGGCAAGCGTTTCCGCGTCCAGTGTGCAGAATCTATTAGAGAGCTTCATAGGCAGAGAGTGACAAATTGCATCATGTGAATACCCACGTCTAATCAGGACGGGGGGGGGGGAGTCACGTGACCAATTTTATTCAATCTCTTCCATGTCTATGGAGCTTTGATGCCCATGTCTAATCAGAGGAGATGCAATTTGCCACTCTCTCCCTGTGAGACTCTCTGGTCCGCGTCGTTTGCAAGCAGACTATGAAATTTACCAATCATCCATTATGCAGCCATTTTTAGTACACAGAAATTAGTTCATCATTGATTGCTAATTACGTAATTGCAATAATGACCAATTAAAACATTTAACACAGTCGCGCTTCTTTTACAAATTTAGGACCGTACATAGCTCACTCACTGACGAGATACTGGGTGCTTTCTATTTGATGACACAGATCGACACAAGTCGACACAAGCGTCGTTCTATCCTTGATATTCAGAAAGTGATAAAGATGGAACGACACTTATGTCAACTTGTGTCATCAAATGGAAAGCACCCACTATTAAAAGACAGTCAGCACTTATGAAAGTTCGCGTGCCTGTTAAAATTTAAGTGATTAAGAGTAAGAAACTAATTTTATGATTTATTAGTTTCATAGACATGTGTACATATGTTAAAATTTAATAATACTTGATTTTTATTTAAAACTGATTTTAATGTCATTATTTGAATTGATTATCAATAGAGATAATAATTGCAGAGAAAAAATTGTAATTTTTCGGCAATATATAAGATATTATAGCATTAAAAGTATGCATACTTATTTATACAGCATTTAATAAAAAATCACAAATTTAATAATATATTAACAAAATATTTATATTAATAATCATAAATTTTTATTAATTGTCGATAACGTCATCGTTCTTCAATTATCCCTGGGCCCTATTAATAGTCACGAAAATTTGTCCAGGGCCGACGGTCTTTAACGTGGCTTAGTTTCCACCGAGGGTTTAAACCGGATTAGAATATAAGAACCAACCAACTACAGTCGAGCATTTCCCTATCATTCGACTGTAAGAGCTCCGCATAATAAAAGGAACAGAGAACAGAGAATAGAGAATAAAAATTTCAACCTATCAGAAATCATTATATTGTGGAATACACAGTTTTTGATAAGTTGAAATTCTTATTCTCTATTCTCTATTCCCTGTATAGGTATGATCAACACGATGTTGCAAACGCTTTGAAGCGTTTTTTAATTGATCAGTTTGTAAAATTCTTTCTTCTAATTGGTCCATTAAACGCTTCAAAGCATTTGTAGCGATACTTTAACCACAGCTCCTGTTCCTTTTATTATGCGAAGCCCCTAACAGGGGAATACTCGACTGTAGTTGGTTGGTTCTTACATTCTGATCCAATTTAAACCCTCAATGAAAACTAGGCCAGTATTGTTAGGAGGGCCAAACGCATGCGTGTCCAATGTAGCTTCAGTAACGTACCGATCACTAGTAAATAGGAGGTCATTAGTCGCCTATGTAAAATATTTTTTAAAATATTGAAAATTTTAATTATATTTATATTTTACATATTTTACAAACCCGTCTAACACACTGGTCTTTAATAGTATCTCGTCGGTGGCCCATGCCCTAGTTTCCATCCAACCGAGGGTTTAATCCGGATCAGAATATACTTGTAAGAACCAACTACAGTCAAGTATTCCCCTGTTACAGTCGAACGACAAGTTCTTATGGAGGCCCATATAACATGTGCGCGCTGGTGAGAATAGACGTTTCTAATAGACTATCATTGTTCTTTTATATAGGTTACATGATTTTTACGCTCGCACATAACTCCAAAAAATGATTAAAAAATTGTTGGAACAATTGTTCTTAAGAAACAAAGTAAAAAACAAACAAGAAGCCTTGTACTTTAGACGAAAACTCGCGATAATTTATGCTATCGTGGGATGGAATACGTTTGGTATTCTGTTTTATAAAATTGTAAAACATAAAATCCCAGAAGACCCTACAGAACGAAGTAAATCATTTTTTATCGATTTTTTATTTTGATATTTTGTTAAAGAGAATGACGGAACATTTATTTTTCGCAGGAATGTCTTATGGACTTTTAAGTGAGAAACCTAGTAGTATGCGTGTATATCAAATAACAGGACTGACAGTCACCAATGATTTTGATATTGCATACAAGGATATTACTCAGGAAAAAGAGAATAATGAAGAAGAATGAAAAATAATTGCTAATGAAATTTAGGTAACAATTAATAATTATTATTTTTCAAAAATCATTTTCGTGTATTGCTGCACAATATGTATTATAAAAAAAGAAATTTTCTTTAGGTGTTACACTATATACATATTTATAAAATACAGAGTTCAATCTATCATTTATTATAATTTTTTATTATAAAGCTTCCAGGGAACTTTTCTTCAGTTAGCCAAAAGAAAAACAATATATAACAATTGATTGTTTAGTAGACTTCTCTCTCAGGGAAGAGATCTTCGTAAAGCAATAGCACCAACATTAGAATTGTCAGATTCCGGATTTAGTTCTTTCAGTCTTTGTTCCATTTCGCATAGTAATGCCGATCTACAGAGGCAAAAATATACAAAATATAAAATATAAAGACAAGATTGTACATGTATTGAAGATAATGTAAATCGTCATTGTTTCGACGAATCTTATTTCTCACCTATATTCCTCGTAACGCATTACAACTTCCTCCAGTTCCTGCTTGTACAGTCTGGTGAGCATAGCATTGAAACAGTCCAACTCGGGCAAACGAAACAATTCCCAACGCAGCTTGCGATCTAAAGCTATTGAGGCCCTGCTGTACACGTACAGCCAGTGTGGTATTTCCTCATTCAGATATGGATTGGCCGGTACCAAAACACTGTGAGAGTGAAAATGAGTATGCCGTGGTGGTGATACGACCCGCACAGCTTGCATCTCATGCGGGTAACATGGATGTTCATACTGAGCTTGGCGCGTGATGTGGCTGAGAAAGAAAGGCGAGATATTTTTGTTGTGACATATATCGATGGCCTGTCGAATCCTCTTCCAAGTTCACTCACTTAACGTAATAAACGCCGTACTCAGGAGATTCAATTCTCTCCCATCCTGTGGGTAAACCCTCTTTTTCAAGTGGATGTGACCAATGTGTGGTCTTAGTGTTATGATCGATGTAGTATTTTCGACCACGGAGTGTGAAATCAACTGACCATCCAGGCGGCAAAGGCAACTCATCCTGCTGCTGCTCATTCCGAGAACTCGATCTTTCCGAATAGCATCTACTATAGCTTCAACCGAAAATCGAAACTTGAAACACTATATTTTCAACAAGCATAAGATAAGCAATAATTTTCATATTAAATCTCTTTATTTTAAATAATTTATGTTCGTAATTATAGAATGAAAAAATTGTATCAATTTCAATGATATGATTTTAACATTATTTAATAGAGATGCTACAAATTTATAACATATTCGGCCCGAGTGATTTGCATCAATCTGGGTTGGATTAATGACGTAAAATTGTTCGATATGATTGGTTCTTGCTTTTGGTTCTTTATAGATCTAAATGTATAAATCTGTATAAAGCCTGTCCAATTTAAGCTCCAGATCCAAAACACAAAGTCATTGACGCAAAAAAATTCAATGTGGGTAAGATTTCGGGAACCGTAAAGTATTGAAATGTATCTGACAAGGGGAACACCAAGTGATGGAGTCAGAGATTTTGATGCGCTTTTTACAGGCTGTTCTTTAGCGAAAAAAAACGATACATGTCCGGCCGTTTCAGCCATTGTCCCATAGTTTCGAAGAAACCGATTTTTCAAATAATTATTGTAATAATTTGAAAAACGTACTGTATAAATGAAAATATCAATATTTTTATAAATTTTATTTAAAAAGCGCATAAAAATCCCCGATCCCATCACCTGGTGTTCCTCTTATGATGCTTATCAATACTTTATAGTTCCTAAAATCTTACTCCTAAATTTTTTTGCATCGATAGCTTTGCGTTTTGGCTCTGGAGCTCAAATCGAACAGGCCTATAAATCAATCATATTGAAGAATTTTATATATATATATATATATATACAGGGTGGGCCATCTATTGGTACGTTTTTGAATTTCGTCGTATGGCAACACCGAACGAGCTACAGACCCGAAATTTTGACAGTTTATTAGTCATACCGTCCGCGGCACGAAACAACATGTTTTCTCTTGAAGAGCGTTTTGAAATTTTAAAAACTTATTTTCAAAGTCAGTGCTGTGTCGCCGAAACTGTACGAATTTTGAAAAGAAATATGGGTCGTGATAGAGCACCCACCGAAGGAGCTATACGCAAATTGGTGAGGAAAGTTCGTGAGAAAGGGATGTTAGTGGATGACATTATATTACGACTTATATATATATATATATATATATATAGTTTATACACAATAGTTGCGAAGCTGCTTTTTCTGCTGAATGCAGCCATTAAAATCGTGGAAAAAAATTTGTACATTATTCACGCTTTGGAGAAATAGACATTGCAGAAAAAATCAAGCAGATTTTCTTGAACTTTCAATTTTATCAAACATTTAATATTTTATACTTTATTTTATAAAGAAAGAAAATTATCGAATTTAATATACATTATCTATAGAAGAATTATTATCTGGAGCATCATTATCTTATTGTATCAAATTGAAAAATAAAACTCAAGTGGTGCTATTTTTATTATTTACTTAATGTCAAAATGAAACTCACGTGATACTATTTTTATTAATGGTTCTTTTATATCGACTTAATTCTTTTTTTATGCAGAATGATTAGAACAATCATATTAAATCGCATTATTATAATCCAATTTAAAGTATTTTACAGCACTCTCATTATTCCGTTTTATTCAGATTATCTTTATTTACAAATGCAAAAAAAAATCAACGTGTCATTTCTCGCTTATGACGTCAATTCAATATAGGTGAGGCGAGTACTCAGGAGTCTTCACAGGATGTGCAAAACGTCACCTATGCGTGTTGTAATTTAGAGCAACAATAATTCAAAGTAATTCGTAGTATAAAAAATAGACATATATGAAAATATGGAAACTAAAATCATTCTCATTGAAAATCATTCTCATACCTAGCATTATGACGATAAATGGAGTGATTATAATCTTCGTAACCATCGACGTCGAAAGGCATGTAAGGCATTTGTGGTGTCTGGACCCTATCCAGATGGTACTCGGATCCAGCGTATTGATTGATATAAGTATGTGACATTGCGGGTGACAGTTCGGCATGATACATGGGTGTTGCTGTCCTCGAAAACATGTAGTCATTCATTCCAGTATTAACAGATAGGCCGGCAAATCTATTATAAAAATAAAAGCATAAAATTGGAGGAATGTTACGACATTCCCTGGTAAAGTTTATTTCGTTCTTTCTTATTAATTATTTCATAGTTTTATTTCGTGTAAAATCATATTAAACATAAAATTTACTATTAACCTTTGAGTTAAGTCAGGAACAGAATTATTTGGTGTATATTTTCCCTCATGACTGCCCAGACCAACGGCGCTGTTCGTAGTTTTCATATTTCCAAACTTTTGCACCATACTAGGTTGCGGAGAAATGGACTATGACACGAGAGAAGCATCGATAAAAATCAACATCTTCAGATGTCTTCTTATATGTTTCAATGATTCTTGATCAGCTGCTTGGAAATTATGAGATATATCGTATATAACTTTTTCTTAGCGTTGATAAAAAATTGATAGACATGTGTTATCTGTTTTTAAACTCAGAATTTATGTTTTGCACAAGGATATATGCAAATATTATTATCTTATATAACAAGGATTGGGAATAAAATGTTATTTACCGATAAAATTTTTTAAATTTAGGCCGATGAAAATAAATCTTAATTAAATTAAAGAGAAATTCTATAGGACCTAACTCGTGCATAATATAGAAGAGCATAGAAATCAACGCGAGTTTTCAGCGCGGATCTAACAATTAAAATTTTGTTTATTTCTAATTGTACAATGTGACCTTTAAATATAAACGTTTGGCCTTTATTAGGTCATCCTTAGTATTATAGAATTACCGTTGAATGTATGAAATTGCATTAAAAATTATTCCACTAGGCACATAATTATCTAAACATAATATTCTTTTTCCATTATATGAAATCAAATAGCTACTCACCAATAATCCTATAAGAAGAATTAGCTCATATGTACCTCAGTACATATGAGCTAATTCTTCTTATAGGATTAATTAAATAAGACGAATCATATAGGATTTCAAATTAATTCGGCTTATTCGAGTAATGTTTTTCGCAATAAATTATTTGCAGATTTAAGATTCTCATTAATATCAGATTATTAGAATATTATTATAAAGATGCTTATTAGCATCACAAATTATTAAATTGCTTATCAATTTAATAAGTAAATGATATTACTACACAGAGAGAAAAATATTTAGCATTTGTGATTATAATTGCATAGTTAAAAAATTATGAATTAATATTTTTTATGAACTTATACAATTTTCAGTTCAAACTAACTGTGCGACGATTATTTGTCAATCTTGAAATAATTAAAGTCCTAAATCGGAGCTGGAATATTACAAATTAATTGACAACACGAAGAAAAATATTTGATCAAATTAACTGAAATTCTGGTAGAAAATGAACGATGCAGAATTCTGATTAAGTTTATTTCTGATTAAATCTACTAGAATTCTAGTAGATTTGATCAAAGAAATTCTGAATGTTAGTTATCTCAACTAAATTTTTAGTAGATTTAACTAGAATTCTGGATCGTTCATTTTCCATCAGAATTCCAGTTAATCCAATTAAACATTTTTCTCCGTGAATCCATCTAATATTAATGCTGCAAAGCATCTTAATTACTGATTTGATGCTAATAAGCGCCTTAAAAACTATAAATAATTTATTGCGAAAAACATCCCATTTGGGTAATATTTCGGACTCGGATTTTCTGTATTACAAAATTTATGTAAAAAATCTCAGCCGGATTGTTTTAAAATTGAAAATTTAAGTAACTCGTAATTTGTAAAACTGGATATGTATATGTATAAATTGAAATTCTGAAATATGCAAGAAGCTCAAGCTCTTCCCTCTCCGTCTCTCTCTCTCTCTCTCTCCCCCCCCTCTCTTGGGCTTAAAAAATATTTCTCTCCTGTTTTCATATATCTAATGTCACTGTTGTTTGTTGCTTTTATTAATATTCAAACAAAAAATTTAAACTAAGTATGTTACGATAACTTATATATATATATTTACTTAGTTATTTTTTAAAAATAATTTCCAATTCCTATTACGTATAACATTATAACAATTTATTGATCAACGAAAAAATTTTTCAGAAAAGGTTACAATAATCTCTTGGGAATATATAGCAATAGCAAAAAGATTTGCTTATACAGTAATAAAAAAATTACTTTTGGAAATAATAAAAAATAATATTATAATTTAATATTGGTAAATCTCAATACTTATTTGCTGGCACGAGTAAACCTTCAATTTTATTTTTATTCTTTTAATGAATTCATATCAAAGAACATTACATAATGTGATATAGTATATAATACATTTATGTACAATAGAATTTTTACCGTAGAACTTGGCATCATTGGATGATTGTTACGCCGCCTAGGTTTTTTGTTCGGTTCTGTTGTCCACACATTGATAACTAAATATAAGTAATATGAGTTGTATAATTGATATTTCTTTTGCAAAGTATTAGGTGTTGGAATTAATTCGTAGCGTTTTTTAATGAAAGAATGTTATTTATTTCACATGAGCATTAAAAAATACATTAATGAAAGTACTTCCCATCACTTGTAAAACGCTACGAATTAATTCCAACACCTAATATAATAATAGTGCTAGTTAGAATATGGGTGATATATGAGGAATGAAGGAGTGAAAGACTTTATTTAAAAAAAAAAGGAAATACATTTAATTAATCAACTGTTTTTATCAAAAATTTACATTCATATAAATTTTTTGTATTAGTTCGTGTGAATAGTTTTGTGTGAATGTCGAATATGATGTCGAATATGATGCTCCTGAACGATATATATGACAATGAAAAACTTTACATTTCTAATTATAATTAAATTAAGTACAAGATAATAGGATAAATTCATAATGACAAAAATGTATAATACATGAAAAAAACGTTTTTCCTAATTTAATTTGATCTTAAAACTTCCTCTTTTACACTCAATGATTTTATACTATAGTATTATAATAAATTTACATTTGTCGTCGATCTTTATGTATAAAATCATATTTGTTTTACAACTTAAATAAGAAACGGCAAGAGTAATGAGCAATACTAAATATTTGCAAAACCAAATATTTATATAGACTTGTTCCTTTATCACTCTGCTATATGTACTACATAAAAAAATTTTCTCGTGCTTTCGTTCAATTCAAATATGCATCTATTACCATTTTCAGTACCAGTATATACTAGTGCAGTTAGATAAAAAACAAACCAAGTTGCAAACGTCTAAGTGCTAAGAAGGAACATATGGCGAAGAAAAGAGAAAAGAACAAAAAGTAGATTTTTGAAATACATACTTGGCATCTCAGGTGGCGTTTCTTTCTTTACATATTTGCCAATTACTCCCTCCTTGATCGTTCTCAGATCCTTATTCTTTCTTGATAACATGTTGCGAATCGGTCTTGTCGACAATCGCGCGAGAAAGAAATATTAAATCGGAGCGAGAAGCTACCACTAAGGTTATCTTCGTCTTCAGGAATCAGAAGACGAAGATAGTCTTAGCCATGGTTGTACAAAAAACATCACTGATTAGAATCGTGTAGCTCGGTCAAGTGTAAACGTTGTACATACAATATAATGACGTTAACAATATCAAAACAACTTAACCTATTAAGCTATGGGTAATTGTTTAGTTGAGCTTCCTCACCTCTAATTTTATGCTAAAATTATGATAAAATTATGCTCATTCGATGTTTTTTTGCGTGAAACAATCGAATCTTATGAATTCTTTAGGAAAAACTACCGCTCTTTCGAGTTCAGATAATTAATCCGTTACAATTCAGATTATTTAGGTTAGAAAATCTGTCATAGTTACGCTAACAGCCAACCCTGGACTCTGGTAAAAAAAAAGTTGATAGAAAACGATTGAGAACAATAGGATTTCCTAATTTATATCGTTTTTTATAAATTTATATCATTTTCTATTGTCAACCTCACGAGCATCACGATTGATTGGATATAGTGATGGGCGATACCATGATGTATAAAGGCGCCTTTTCATGCTTAACGCTCGACGCTCATTTTTAAGGTGCCTTTTCATGCTCGACGCTCATTTTTGGCGTCAAAATAAGGCATGTGAAAAAAATTGATAAATCAGCCCGAATTCTCATACAGCAACAGCGCTTTGACACAGAGCTGATTGGTGAAAAGCTGATTGTAGGGATAAAATATACCCATTACCCGTTTTTCAATCAGTGTCAAAGCGCTCTTGCCCGTATGAGAATCCGGGCTCAAGAGTTAATTTTGATCACCTATTTTGGTGATCTATTTTGACTCTGAAAATGAGCGTTAAACGTTAGCACGAAAAGGCACCTTTAAGGCTGAAATACAATTAAAGGAACAAGGAATAACGAGCTGTTCAATTAGAGTTAGGGGATATAATATCAAACTTACATACCAGAGCTCTGATTGGATGACTTATTATTCCCTGTTGCCTGTGCCTATTGTGTTTAAGCCTCTAACGTTATAACAGGTCATGTGATAAAAATTAATGAATATCAAGCGTTATGACACAGAATGTTGCATGGTACATAAGGGAATCAATTGAAATTCTTCTTTTCTATGGAATGGAAGGAAGGAAAAAATTCTGATTAGTTAATTCGCTTATGCACTATGCATTATGCGTTATGCAAGAGTTTGTGCCGCGGCCATGAAAATAAACGTTGAGCGTCAGCATGAAAATGTACCTTAAAAAGAAAAGGAATCCGAAGTACACTACATCGTACCTCGGAACGCATCCTATGTTTGTTGCCCCAACAACGCCAATTGAGGTGAATTTAGGAAACCGATTAAAAGAGTTCGAGCGTAAGGTGTTTCTTACTGAAGACAGAAACAAGTTTTTTGAAACAATCTTTTGTTTCAGGATAGTAAAGTATTCGTAGTGTTACAAAAAAATGATAAGATTTAGCCTCTCGCATTAAACGTAACCTCTATAGCCTTGTTCACGTACGAGATCGCAGTAGATTGCTGTGGACGGAATGGCGGTTGGCTCAACGAAGGTGGTTCAGGTGACAAACATCGCGCCCCAGGCCACCAAGGATCAGATGCAAACACTTTTTGGGTATCTAGGCAAAATCGAGGATATCAGGTTATACCCAACGATTAGGGATGTCGCCGTACCCGTACAGTCGCGCATATGTTACATCAAGTTCCATGACCAGGGTTGCGTCGCTGTAGCACAACATATGACCAATACTGTTTTTATCGATCGTGCATTGATAGTGATCCCATATCAAAATGGAGATATTCCGGACGAGCAGCGTGCCTTGGAGTTAACCAACAATGGCACAGTTGTACCAGGTAAGAGTATGGTTTAGACTACTGATCTATAATAGATACCTATAGTAAATCAGGCCTATCCAACACTTTATTTATGAGCTGAACACTTCCAACTTTTTACAGTCTTGATAGAGCAAGACCGAGCAAAAATAACAAGGGATAAACGCCAGGATTTAGTTGTATCCAAGTAGCATAGAATGAAGGAGTCTATTCTTCAATTTGTTATTATAGTAGCTGTTTTTATTTTGTTTGTTTGACACTCAAAAATTATAATAAAATTTAGTAAAACGTTTAGACATTTAATCTAGTCATCATCAGTTATTATAAAAATCACTGATGTATCAATGATATTGATATATTACTCAATTACTGTATCAATATCTTACGTATACATAAGTCATAAATTTAATAAATTTTTATATAATTTTTAAATTTTTATTTAATTTTGATAATGTTTTAATTAGACATCTAATTTCAATTCTACGAACTACATTCTTTGTGCAAACTACTAGTCTGTGGATTACTATTTTATAAGTACTGACTGTATTGCTTACAAACTTATTTTACAATGTAAGCATAATTGTGAATAGTTGTAATTGTAAGAATTGATTACAATCGAATATTCTCTATTTGATTGTGATTGGTGAATTTTTATAACTATATTTGTGCAATTGTAAAATAGGTTTTGTATGATGCAAATGTTGTCATAACATGACAGCTCTAGAGCATTATATTAGACTAAGAAATGATAAAGAAAATCTTAATTTCAAATTTTTTTTGTTATTCTCAGCATGAACTCTATCTCAAAGGTATTAATATATATACATATTTCAATTCTGAAAAATAACCTTCGAATCTATAAAAGGGAACACTTACATTATGACTAATCGTCTTCAGGATTTTCTTAAAATAAAAATTTACAAGTAACTATTTTTTATTTAATTTTTCGAAAACTTGGTATAGTACTTTGAGTTCCGAATTTTGAACTTTTAAATTTACACCTTGTATGTAAAATATTCTTTTTTTTAATTTCCAAAAAATGCTAAAATCCAAAAATTTATCTTTTTTAACATAGATCTTAGTCTTTTTTTATTGTTTCAGGTCTCTATCCATCAGAACCAAAGTTACCACCGAACGTTGTGAATGCTATTGAAGGTATTCCTCCAAATCATGTGATTACCACGATGGATCCTAAGCTAGAGGCGAATAGCTTGCCGTCCTATCCGCACCTACCAGGTCATTTGGACAGCAGACGTATCGAAGAGATTCGTCGGACGCTTGTAGTGGCAAATTTAGATACATCGGTGAGCCCTGAGCAGCTGCTGGACTTCTTCAGTAACAACAATATAGAGATCAAGTACCTGCGTATGTGCAGTAGGGACTCGGATGCCGATCATTATGCACTGGTGGAGCTGTCTGAACAGGCAGCTGTGATTGCGGCGTTGCTGCTGAATGGAAAGCAGTTTGCAGAACGATCAATCAAGCTGTACCACTCAACGCAGGCGATCGCCAAACCAGAGGCAAAGAGCAACGAAGCTGCACAAAAGGAAATTGAAGAAGCAATGTCGCGGGTAAAAGAGGCACACAATCTCATCTCTGCGGCAATCGACCCGATGATCGGTATGCTCTCCAAGGATAAGCGAAGCAGAAGTGGCTCGCGCAGCCGTAAGTCTCGTTCGCGATCCCGTGGACGTAGCCGACGCTCGAGATCACGTAAGCGTTCGCGATCACGCCACCGACGCTCGCGATCTCGTCATCGGCGTCGATCGCGCTCGCGCTCCAAACGATCTCGATCGAAAGATCGCAGGCGCAACTCTCCATCGAGACGACGCAGCAATTCGCGTAGTCGCCACCGTTCGCGTAGCAGATCGAGAAGATCGAGGTATAACTAAACAATCTTTTGCTTTGCCAAAGTCATATTGTATTCACACACACACATATATATTGAATTCTACTTATATTTAATGTATAGCGAATTCGGTCACTTTTGCACTGCGCTAGATCAGTGCATACTAAAAGCTGCTATACATGAAATTAGCAAATTATAATGTAAAAGTATATGAATATTTTATACGATTAAGTATCTATTAATGATATCGTCACGTTATTTAATATAATATACATGTTTTATACATTATTTTGTTGTCAAAGTTGATTATATTGTATTATTGCACTGAGATATTTTATATAAAGCAGCTTTTAATATACACTGAACCAGTGTAGTGCGAGTGATGGAACAATTATAAATTCTAGAAAAATATAAAGTGTATTATAGAAAAATGTTTCAGTATGGAAAAAAGGAATTCAGGATGCGAATGAAATCTTCGTCTTTAAAGAGATTAGTATATTTTTAATACATATATTAATACATGTATTAACTTTTTATCTCGTCAAAGGTCACGTCGATCACCATCTAGGTCAAAAGAGCGGAAGAAGAGATCACCGCGTCGTCGCAGTCGTTCACGTTCACGAAGCAAGGGCTCTACATCCAGGTCTAGGCGGTCGCGTTCAAAATCTAAGTCCAGATCATCCAAATCCAAGTATTCCGTGGACAAGAGCAAGGATAAAGATCGAGAAAGGCGCAGCAAGGATAAGTCAGATAATGGTAAGAGAAGCGATAGCGATCGGGAGAGAGCCGAGAAAGAGAGCAGTAGAAGCGAGAAGAAATCTAACAAGGAGAAACGATCGAGTGACAAATCGGATTCTAAACAGTCGGACGACAAGAGTAGATCGGAGAACGATAGCAAGGAGAAAGCAATGGATTCGGAAAATTAGACAAGGACTCCATTCATCACTGATATAGTTTTCCAAGTATCGTGAAATTCAACAAACTACCTGTCTTTATCGCTAATGTATTGGTACAGTGACAAATATATGGATATACAGTATTCTCTCGAAGAGGCAATTCGTATGTATTGACGATTGAAATGTATAGATTCAGTTTGCTTTTACAAATGAATCTTCATTTTTCTGGGAATCGGCGACAGTTTGATCTCCTCATCCTCTTTTTTTCCTTTTTGTATATTTTTAGATGACCTAGAAAAACAATGCTTCATTCAAAACAACTTAGCCAAGGGAATCTTTTATCGATATATATTATAATAATAAGCTAAATGGTTTGTAAAAAAAAAAAGATGAATGATGCAAAAAATTAAGTAGAAAAGAGTAGACCATATATTGTAATCGATTATAGGAATTCAATGTGCCTGTTAATTTAACATATTCTGTATTACTGTCGATGGTACACGTTAAAGTACGTCTATCGAGTCGAACTTCGAGTCGTGAGCATAATATTATATTAATGAACAAATCTACGGAAAATATTTTGTAGTTTCATGCATATAAATTTGTTTTTGTTGATTATATTTCTTAATTTTTTAAATTAAATTTATTCAAATTAGAGTTGTTTTCAATTTTTTATTTCAGATGAAGGGTTTGTTCCAATATAATCGAACCAGTTTCGAACTATCAAAAAATTGCGCATTATCTCAATTTGATTATACTGTGCAATAAAATTTTATAATGCACACAGGATCGATTCTATATCTTTAAACGAGGTGAAACTTACAAAGATGAGCGAATTTAAAATACTGATAATTTTATTAGTCAACACTTAGACAAATTTGCTCACTTTTGTAATTTTCTCTTTGGAGTCGATTCTGTATCTTCAAAGTGAAAATTACAAAAGTGAGCAAATTTACTAGGCGTTGACCAATGAAATAATCAGTATTCTAGTAAATAGTCTATTCGCTCTTATAATTATTTTTACCTCATTTCAAGATACAGAATCGATCCCCTTATTTGAAGATACAGAATCGATCTCCAGATTCTTGTTAACATCTAAACACAATGTAAAGATTGCGAAGACAACAGCGATAGCGAGTGAAACAGCGGTAGCTATTACTGTTACCTTCGCATTGTGTTTAAGCCTTTTACTCGTTGCCTCACGTTTATAGCAGGGAGCATAGACTCACATGCATGCATCTACAATGAGTAGTAGCAGTAGTGAATTAAGGAATAGGCGTAGAAATCGACCAATCGTAGTTGAATGTGAAAAAAATAATCAACTATGATTGGTTGATTTCTACGCCTACTCCTTAATCAACTACTGTTACTGCCTATTGTAGACCATGCATTATATTGGGTCATCTAAAAAATATCCGCGGTTTTTTGTCACTAGACACAACTTTGTGTTGACCATTAATACCATCTTAAGACGTGACTTAAGCCGGTGATCCAATCAGGATACTGCTTTAGATTTACGTACTCTAACAGAAATAAAAATATTGGGTCATCTAAAAAGTATCCGCGGTACTTTGTCACTAGATATATGACCATCAACACACATCTAGTGACAAAAAACGGATACTTTTTAGATGACCCAATAGCAGTAAACTTATCCATAAGGCGAGTTTCAATCGATTAAAATTCACTTTATAGGTTATGGATAAGTTTACTATTATTTCTATTTCCGTTAGATTACGTAGACCTAAAGATCCTGATAGGCTCATCGATTTAAGTTTATGTCTTACGGTCACTGTTGCGGAATTTTATGCGACAGCCCTTCACACATGAAATGCATGACAGAGCATAAGCATAACATAAGACTGGACCAATGAGCATCTAGCATAATGTCACCATATTGATTTACATAAGATGCTCATTGGTTTAGGATTATTCCATACAAAACTTGCATAGCTGCATAAAAAAAAATCATCCAATCATATTTTTAATTTGTCTTTATGACAGACATGTGATTGGATAATTTTCTTTATGCATATGATTATACGGCTATGCAAGTTTGTATGGAATGGTCCTTAGCGGCCTTATGTTATGCTTATGTCCTGTTATGCATTTCATGTGTAAAATTCTTAAGAATTGACTCATAATCAAGTATTGCCTTTTCAGACCGCTATTTCATTTATGCGTTTTTGTCGTAAGACAAATTTTTCAAGGCTGTTAATTGGCTATAAGATAGAAAGATCCGAGGACATCTCTGTCCTGCACACATTTGTCCTACGCAAAAACACACAAATGAAATAACGATTTCATTCGACAGTACACAATTCTACAATTATAAGGCTACTTTCACATGGACCGCAACTTGCGTAAGCGTAACTTGCGTTAATCAATGAATCAAATTATGGGAGTTTTCCAGCAGAGGCAAATCGACACAAGAGTCATTTCAGCTTTGTTTTTTACTGAATTATTGAACAACGACAGAATGACTCTTGTATCAATTTGTATCTTTTGCTGGAAAGCGCTCTATTCATAATCCGGTATTCATAGTCAGGGGATCGATTGTGTATCTTCAAATGAAGTAAAAATTACAAAAGTGAGCAAATTTACTAGAGTATTCATAATTTAATTCGTTAGTACCTAGTAACTAACCTTGATTCACTTTTATAATTTTCACTTTCTTTCAAAATCCACAATCGACCACATTTTATACTCAAGATCAACTTAAGTACGGTCTTAAGAAGTCACGAACCAATCAGAGGGCTGCATTAGTGTTTTAAGATTACTTAAAGACGATCTTAAAATAAGAATCAACTATGAATACCGACCTATATCAGTTATTATGCCTTATTCTAGTTAAGACGATTTTATTGCTCTTACTCTGCTTTCTTTTCTGCGATTGTAATTGGTCGCACTGTTCCATTTTTCTGTAAATTTTCGCTTCATGGGACGCTGGCCTTATACTTACTTTACGCTGGATGTGATGAGCGCTGAGCGATATCCAATGAAAGCTCTGCTTTGCATCAAGTGAGAAAAAGCAGAGTTTTCATTGAATATCGCTCGTCACATATTGCTTATCGTGTCCAGTGTGCAGTAGGCATTATACTTTAAAATTTCATTTGTAGATGCCGCTTTATTGTAGCAAATTCATTATGGTAGCGTTTGGCCATTTGAACAGTTTGTGACAACATTAAAAGCGATAATCAAAGCACATATGCAATTACATTAAACGAAAAAGTAACAATAAAAATAAAGAAAATAATACATGTTATTTTTTTTATATCTGCTAAAATCTTAAGGTAATTTTGCGTTTCCTTTATTTATTTTTAACAATTTTTAAACTGCTTAATTATCCATTTTAATTATAAAGATATCAAAAATATATTGTATTCTTAAACTTTATAATATCATGCCTAATTCGATGCCTCATTCTTACCATCGTGGGTCATTAGAATTCGTTCATGTTTTCACCTATTTAAAATGGTTCCAAAATTCTCTAAAAATTCATAAATCTACATTCAACTTTCTAGAACAAATGTTTAAACTTCATTTGGAAATAAAATATAGTGTAAGTTATGATTATCAAAAGACCCACAAGTTAGGAAAAAATAAAGAATCACTGTTCACTGATCCATAATAGGAAAGTATGGGTTAGGTTAATTGTATGTATAATCATTAATTTAATATTAAATTAATTGTTGAAAAACTAAAGAATTTAATATTTTGTTTAATAATTCCTTTGAACATATTTGAAAACATAGTATTTTATAAATATTTATGTTTTATCTTTTTTTTTTACATTATATATGTTTAATAACATTAGATTGTAAGAAATCCTTTTCATGATTATTTAAAGGGCTTAGATCATTAGAAATTAATTCTTTTATAGAGAAACATGGCTACGGAATTGTCATCAAAGGAATTTTCTTTGAGATGGAATGACTTTTGCAACAACTTAACTTCAGGCTTTCTTTCTCATTTAAATGAGAACAATTTGGTTGATGTAACAATTGCTGTAGAGGGACAATTATTAGCTGCCCACAAGCTAGTTCTATCTGTATGCAGTCCTTACTTCAAAAATATATTCAAGGTATGACTTTATTGTTAACAATGTCATGTAAATAAAATTGTACTTGAGTAACACTTCAAGTTGTTTTGTAGGAAAATCCTTGTCAACATCCAGTGATAATATTGAAAGATGTAAAGCATACAGAAGTAATATCTCTGCTGAAGTTCATGTATCAAGGAGAGGTGAATATAAAACAGGATGACTTATCTACTTTCCTAAAAGTTGCGCAAATGCTGCAAATAAAAGGATTAGAAGGTGGCGAGGGACACATCATACCATTGTTAAATGATTATGTCAATGTGTTAGATTCACATGATTTCAAGGATGTAAACAGTTTATCTGATGTTTTAAACGAGAAAGAAGACAAGAACAAAATTCCAGATGAATCTGTACACTCGCGCAGGATAACCAACAGGAATAATAAAACGAGAAAGAAACAGATGGTTGAGAACAATTACAATTCGATCAAAAAGTTAAAAAATGAATCAAATGTTGACGGCAAGGATGATATTTGTCTCTTGTCAGATAATAATGATAAATCAGATAACGTGAATGATTCCAATTATGAAAAGGATATTAGATGTAACAAGACTAGTAAGGCTATTAATAATAGTGAAAAAATAATTGAGTTGTCCAACGAACAAAATTTGGAAGGAACCTCATTATTACAGTCAGGTATTTTATTATATTATTCATAAGCATAATGAAATATTAATTTACTGATTGCAAGATATTTATATTAAACTAATCATTTGATTGTTGTGTGAAACGAATTGATTAAAAGAAAATTGATATAAAGTTTTTGATATAGACGTGGAACCAGTGATCTACAGACTATCTGCCAGAGGTAGACCACAGTTGGTCCACGAAGGATACGTGTACAATATGACCTCTCGTTCTAAAGTATATAATAGCTCACACTACCGTTGCGCGGAGCAGCATCGCGGTTGCCGCGGTAAATGTTCCGTGATCGCTGAGAGATTCATGCCGACGGGGGTGCACGAACACAATCATCCACCGAGTTATCAATCGGAGTACAATTATCGAAAAAAGAAGGGTCTAGACACTGATATCAGAGAAAGACTGGTCCAATGATGCATTTAAAGACATTTAAATCAAGATGTTTCATCTTCTGTGTATGTGTTCACATACGCGCGCACACTGTTTGATTGTGCATGCACACACACGTCGATATCCAGCAATTGGAACAGGTAATATGTTTAGTCGGAAAGAGACAACATATTTTTTATCTAAATCTGAATAAAAATGTTATTTTTGTATTATATGCATACCTATTATATGTATACAGAGTGGATGCTAAGTGAATTTGTGAGAGGAATAACTCCTTCAAATCTTTTAGAATATACTTAGTACCTATTCTGTATATAATTGTCTCTATATATATAATTGGCTCCATAATATAGTAATCAAACAAAAATATTTGTAATAAAATCCATGATTAGAGATATAAGTTTAGATATTTTCAGTCTAAGTCAATGCTCAAGATTTGCAGTTCTGGGTACTGGCTTAAAGTACTTTCCATTCATTACAGATTTCAGAATGATAACGCTATAAGCGAGAAAATATACGAAAATGATTACAAAATATATCAAAATAGAAAGATTTTCAATAAAGTATTTACACTTAATAAAGGATATAATCCATTTAATGCTACAAATGCTTCGAAGCATTTGACTGAAGATCCAATCAGAAAAAAGAATTTTATTAATTAACCAAAGAATACTTTAAAGCATTTATAGCATCAAGTGGATCATAGCAAGAGTACACTTATAAAATATATCGAAAATTGTCTTTCCAGAATAGAATAAAATCATATTGATTTCAATTTGGTAGCTTTGTTTCGTCATATGCTTTATTTCCTTTTCTGATTAGGAATAATTCAATTTTAAATATGCCAATTTTGATTACCGAAAGGGGAATTTTTGATATATTTTACGTTCTATGTAAAATGATTGCAAATATTGCTTTATTATTAAAAAATACATCTTGATATATAGTTTTCCAAAAATTTTCGTTACATATTTTTCTATGTAGACCTATTCTGTAACTTCTTAACGACAGTTTGATATCGTTCTGCTGTCATTGCGTAACTTTTTTATTATAGCATAATATCTGCGTAACGACATTCCTAAGTGAAATTATTGTTGTGAAGTTTCAGAATGAGCTAAAAAAGTATAGAAATCGACTTTTATTTTACAAAAGCAAATTTAAAAAACAAAAGCCAGAAAGCACATAATAGATGTAATATAAGCAATTTTTAATAGTTCATATATTATACTTAACATATGAAAAAACGTTTTTGACCTTTACTTAGTCTCTATCAGTTCTAGCAAATGATAACAAATTAAAATTTAAATCTTGACACAAATAATTCCAATAAATAATAAGTAATGTTTTAATGAATAAAAATAATGCAAAAGATTAAACAAAAAATATAATAAGAGACTATGTCATATACTAAACAATTTCAAATATGTAAAAAATAAGTCGATAAAATTAATCAAGATAAAAATTCGTCAGAGACGAGATTCCTGTAAGTCCATAAGAGAGTGTATAAGTTAGTAGGATAGTATAAAGTTTGATTCCAATAAATCATAGCACGTTTTTCATGATTCTCTCCACTGCCACTCACCCGAAGTCGTGGCCTGAAGTCCATGGTGGAAAATTATGATTTATTCGATAATATAGACGGATCCCTCATGTAGCTTCTCGGAGTCTTCTTATTAAATTAATGACTTCTTCCTCCAGATAAACATGGAGATCAACATAGTCAGAACACGAATGTCGTAAATAGTATACGAAAGGACGAAAATGTAAATCACAACTCAAATGGGTACACAAAATATAATCGGCAGATGTTCCTGTACGTATAGCTGGTCATAAAAAAGTTGCAACACTTTTTTTGTGATGGATTTCAGAATTCACCAAACCATTGGTTCTTATTTATGGATCTACTGGATAAATAATCGGCTGTGAGTGTTTCCAATAACTCAAGTTTGAATTAGTTCCACTAGGATCAAAAAATATCTAATAAAATTGAGTTACTGTCGTTTCCGCGCATCATGTAATAGCACTCTAAAAGTTAGCCAATCAAAGCTAAAAGATTTTGAAAATTCTTGACTGATTGGTTAATTCTTCTGATACATCTTTCGATTGTTGTTTGGGAAAGTATGTGCGGACCTCCTAAAGCGTATTCAGATTCCCACATGGATGCTCCCCAGGTATCATGTCACTCTTGTCTAATGTTTGATAAACAAGGATGGAGTGATACCTGGGTGATACTCTAGTAGGAATCTGAATTCAGCACTAATGGAATAACTCTCATTCCGTAATATGTATCTTGGTAATTTTACGACCTTAACTAATATCTCGGTTCGCAAAGTAGAATAACGCTTTTTTATGCAAGAACGTGTCGAATAAGCCTAATTTCATTGATTTTTGAGGTAGCTAAACTAAACATTAAATGTACAATACATACAAGTATGATAGATTATTATTTGATTTTTATCTATTCAACCATCACTTCAACGTGTTTTAACGTCATTTGTTACCATTATTTCCAAGAAGGCGCTTGCGTATGCACGCGTGCGCGTGTGCTCTCATTTTATTATTCAAATTCTCACATATATAATAAAAGATAAGAATTTAAAAAATTGAGCATTACTGTATTATCGCTATAATTACAAAAAGAATCATTTACATTAGCATAATTAACAAAGTTAGATAAAGATTAACAAATCGAGATACTTCTTATCCACTTTTTATTCCTATATAAATCGTGATGGAAGTAATATTTATTAATATATGAATATATTATAAGCTAGTGGAAAAATCAATGGAACCCACTCAGAATATGGGATTCTTTGTTTTTACTACTAACAGTTACAATTAGTGTGCTACGATTGCTCCACTGGAGTGATCTTATGATTATTCCGGTCATCTATTATTCAACTTTAAATGGCTTTAAGATTTTCTTTATTTTCCTACTTTAATGTAATGTCTCTTTTTGAATATATTTAATTAAGATTGACTTTCCAATAATATATATAATTAAGTATTGCCTCCGATTTTTTATATAGGAATGAATTTACAAATACTATCGAATAAGAAGTGCCTCGTTACTTATAGACATAATAAAATGGATTGCAGTCTGCCGAGAATTGTTTAAAATGCAAAGAGGTATCGGCGAAAAATCTGTCTCCCATTTTGCGATTTTCCTCCTAATTCTGTGAAAGTATTTCCTTGTTTCGTACATGTTTGTAAAAATCTCCAAAATCTTGTTTCATTTAATATTTATCCTATATAAATGTCGAATCACTACACAGTCTCAATTTTCTCAACAAGAAAAAATTTTAAATTTTCCAAACTTCTGTCTCTTTCCAGTGTTTTTTAAACTCGCTACCATCCCCTTGGTTAAATCAGGTATAATTCAATGGAATTTTCTTATTGTACAGCAACAAAGATATTTTCATTGATATCGCTTCGCCATTTTCCTTTCTAACTTGCGCATTTTCTTCTCGTTCATCTCAGATTGCTCTTGTGGCTGAGCAAAGAACCACGGAGCCAAAATTTGTTTCCAAAGCACCCAGCTTCCCCTCAATGGTGCCTGTAGAATTTCCAAAATATGCAATAACAAGAGTTCCACATATATGCAATCTTTTTGTGACATTGAATAAGGAAAGCAATGCAAATGATTTATCGAAGTACCTACCAAAAGCCACAATAACCAGAAGTAGTTCGAAATAAGGGACAGAATTTGCACTCCTGATGTTAATATGATTAAATCTTTGAAATGTCTGTGAACAAAATTATAATACTTCGTTTAATGAACAATAGGATCCAAATAACACTGGACATTCTCTCTCCAAGGATGTTCATTTTAAATTCAATTTATTTTTATCCGCTTATAACAAATATATATTTCATGAATCTGAGAGATCTAATTTGAACATTCTATGAAGTTCCAATGTCTAGAAGTGAATGTCCAATAGACATACTATGGACGTCCTCATGCTATCTAGGGAGAAAGTAATAACGATGAGAAGAGTACAGCAAAAACTTACTCTGCTATACCACCTTCCATGTTGAGATCAACACCTGGATCCAGGAGCTGGCCGGATTCAGAGTACGTGGCGCGAGCCATATACGACATGAATTGGTAGCTTCCTATATATATAATTGCAGAAAATGCCATTAGACTCTGTAACGATAATACACAGTTAGGCGTTTCATAGCTGTACAATTATATTATCGGTATCCACAGGTTTGTTCGCGTCGCATGCTCCAATGGGCTCATTGTAGGAGCTGTAGTAGAAGTACGTTAAAGCATGTTGGAGTATTCGACGCGAATAAATCTCATCAGACACGAGATTTAACTTACTATTGTCAGTGCGTTGAATTCACGCAACATCATCGTTACGAAATGCATTCCCATTGCGCCTAAGGCCATGTAGATGTAAAAACTCAGCGTAGAGACATTCTCTTCCTTTATTTGCTTTGCTCCTTTGGTCAATACCTTACCTTTCTTTGTCTGTACAGAGGTACGTTCAGGAATTACGTCCAGTTAATTCTAAGCTATGATTTATATTACGTGTATTCAGGATTGGGAACGTTACTCATAAAAATAGGCGTTACTATTAATTTTTTTTATTTGTAACTTAATTGTTACTATTATTTGTCACTAATTTTAAAAAGTAACGTATTATCATTATTTAGAAATGATTCATGATCTTTTTCATTACTTTTATATAATGTTAAAGTTAAAAAAGATTTTTTTAACAGGAAATAGAAGTACGCTTTACTTTTTATCGTTACTTTGTTACAATAACAATTTGAAGATTCGCAACATTTGATAATTGTTATAATAACAATTTGATAATGATGTTGCGAATCTTTTAATGATAATTTTACGTACGGTAACAATTGGAAAAGTCATATTATTAGAATTGCCATTCAACCAAACTCTTTTAAGAGTATATATAAGAGAGACCGGGGCTAAGTAAAGAACCTTCTTTTCAATTGCAGTTTTCAATAATAAAATAAACAATTTTAGTCGAATAATTATTAGTGTTTTATAGTGATTATAAGACTACAAGATGGCAATAAAAAATTTTAGCGTTTGCAACTTTATTTCATCCATATACACAAAAAATGATGTGATTCGAAAAATGAAATTTCAAAAATTACTTTTGATCATCGAAAACACGTTTAACTATTTAAATATAATAACGCGGCATCTGAATTAATCAAACTTCATTAGTAAAGAAGACACATGATGCTTTCTACAAAATAAATTGGGAATAAGATATATTTTTGCCATTCAAAATTCAAATGCCAGTTTAGTCCCGGTCTCCCCTATTCTTTTTGAAGTCGAAAAATAGTGTACTCTTACTTTTCACTTATTGTACTTTTTTTTAAATAAGATAAAATTTAAAAAATTATTTAATATTTAAATTTATTGTTTTATAAAAAAGTTTTATAAACTTTTACTTGACTTGTACTAAAGCTGTGTTCGCTTTGGATAATATGTATGTAATATACATGTACAAATATTTATTTATATATTATATAGGAATTTTATTAAAGATTTGATTATATATATTTGTTGAAAAAACTTATAAGTTGCAAAGTACGTGGAATATATGAATCAATTTTATTTTCTCAGTTTTATTAACGTTAAAAAATCTCGTTACAAAGTAAAATATGAATAAATATATTTATAACTTTAAAACTAAATAAAGGCAAACAAAATTACATTCTAGAAATGTCGTTTTATTGAATATCAGCATTTAAAATAAAAAAAACCCCTCTCCATCTTTTTCTTTTTTTTCGAAAGTGTACTCTTTTTGTTAATCAATATATACTCTTTTCGTATATACTCTTTTCGTGCGACCGAGAATTGGCAACTCTATTCTGAAAAAAGTTATTACTGAAAAAAGTAACTTTTTATTTGTAATTAGTTACTTTTATTCGTTACTTGTAACGGAAAAAATAACTTATTGATACGTTATAAATTATTTATTACTTTTTTCAGTAAATAACGCGATCCTGTAACTTTTTCTTTAGAATGGAAACATGAAAAGTGAACATTTTTATGTATGAATGTATGTGTATGTACACACATTCATCAAAAAATTTTCACTTTTCATGTTCCGTCCTAGAGAAACTTACATGATCGATACCTTGAATTGAATTAATTGCGTTTTATGCTCTCTTATTGGTAGAGCGTGTAACATCAATCAATAATAAAGCATTTTCCAACCTAGGTATTGGTGCAAACCCGAAAATGCAATCAGACTACGGGTTAACGATTACGATCAATATTAATAATTGTCCGATTCTATTTCAGTCAATTGTGATGGACTCGCTACATCGTGATTGGTTGAAATAGAACCAGGCAACCATTAGGGTATATCCACAACTAGCCGTATACATATTGGGTCATCTAAAAAGTATCCGCGGTTTTTTGTCGCTAGATGTGTGTTGATGATCATATATCTATGCATACCAATATATGCATACAGAAAATTAATTAATAATTATTAAATTGCATTTCTCTTATAAAATCGCATGTAAAATGTGATTGGATAATTTTCTTTATGCAAATTTATGTGGATATACTCTTATAAATGCCTGTTCTACAATAGTTGTATAAAGTAATATTGGGTCATCTAAAAAGTATCTTTGTCACTAGATATATGACCATCAACACACATCTAGTGACAAAAAACCGCGGATACTTTTTAGATGACCCAATATATACAATATATTGTATAAATCATATGTGTAGTTTTGCGTTGTAATTGTATAAAGACAACCATTTTCCACAAAAATACAGTATAACATAGCAAGAATAAAACATCCAGATTGTAATTATTAATCGTACACAACAGCTTTAAAGCGATACCAGATGTGAATGTACTTTGTCGCTTGATAATAATAATACACGCAAGAGGATTCATAATACGAGTAGTCTAAACAATCGGAACATTCCTTATGGAAACGTCGATTAAATAAGAATGAACATTCATTGCGAAAAAAAAATGTAAATGAAATATAAACTCACTGTCATCTTATTTGATCTTCCTATCGAAAAAATTGGTAATACTCAAGAATTCTGTCTTCCTCACTGACTTTAATGAAATTGGGCTCATTCCATTTTGCACGACAAAAATCAATTTGATAAAAAAATAAGCGTCACTCTGCCTCATGGACCAACATATTAATCGTTGAAGTGGACGACTATTCAGGTTAGGAAAAGTGTCACAGCCACGAAATACTGTGAAGCGAGCATGCGCTATGGTCACATTACCATGCAGCATGTTCTATGGCCACATGAGTGTGAGTTTTTGGTATTTCTACAAAGTGTAACTTTACAATGACCTAGTTTCCACCGAGGGTTTAATCCGGATCAGAGTATAAAAACCAACCAATTACAGTCAAGTATTTTCCTGTTATAGGGGAACGCTTGACTGTAGTTGGTTGGCTGTTACACTCTGATCCAGATTAAACCCTCGATGGAAATTAGACCAATGGTCGCATTTATAAACGCGTTAATTTAATCCGACCAATCGCATTTATTATTTAATAGAATTGATCAGAGATCTTAAAGGAACGTTTATATTGGTCATAATAAAGCTGTATGCTGCAATCTTTAAGAATTGACTAATCATAATCAAGATAGTCTGCACGTTTTTGACTACGGTCTATGTTTGATGCTATAAATGTTTCGAAGCATTTTGATTGGTTAATTAGTAAAATTCTTTCTTCCGATTGGTCAATCAAACGTTTCGAAGCATTTGTAGCGAGAAGTAGATCACACCCTCTATCCTGAGGATTTAGTATAGAGACGAACCACATTTATTTTTGACGATACGATTTTATCGATAGTGTCAGAAAATGTATGTAGTCACGTAGTTCCCAAACTAAAAATGGATGTACTGGCGGTAGTGTACGGGCGATTTCGACGGAAAAAAGGTCGACACGGCCTCTCTTCAGGTCTTTCCCTGCTTTCACAATGCGCAAGACGTACCGGGAAAGTGCGCGTAAGCGCGCTGGCGATCAAATCAAGAAGGATTTATCTCGGAAAGATAAGAAATTTGGTATGAACTCGTGAACATGGACACGCACGAAAACATGGTTGCAGATCATGAAACATAGCCTTTCTTGCTCTTTTGTACTTTCGAACGACAGAAATTATGAATCGCGGCAATGTCGTTACATCTAATCTTGTGCGACTATTCACGAGTCTTTGTCGCTACAGCGATAGTATTGCGTGCCGACGATTGTATTATCGTCCTCGAAGACGTCACTTTCATCCGCCGCTGACGCGTTACTGCGATGAGTATCCTAACCAGTGGACCAATTACAACCTTGCTTCGACTGCACTCTTCTGGAAACCACGTGCGCAGATCCGCGAACTGCAAACAATGTGGCCTATTTATAAAGAAAAGGAAGAAGAGCAAAAGAACGGTTTTCTCGTAGACGCGCAAGGGATGATACTCATATTAGCGAGGATTGCGACTATAAGCACGGTTATTACCATTCTGTTTGTCGCGTACTTGATTACACGCTTGACCTATGCGAATTCGTTTCCCACCATCCTACGAAAAGGTAAACAAAATGTTAGCAATAGTTACCAATCATATTAAAGAATCACTGAGCGCTAACTGATTAGTTTTCTCTACTGAACGCAGCCAATGTCTATGGATTCCTTTATACTTTTAGGCTGTTAAGAATTGGGTTTTTCTCGATTTACTTAAGTCTAATGGGCCTCCTGCAATAAGCTATTACTCATAAATCAGATGTCAAAAGCTATAAGTTGATGATTGTGATTATGGTCAATTTTTAGCTTCTGATTTCTGATTTAGGGAGCGTTTATATTGGCCGTATGCCGTAATCTGTAAGAATTGATTAATCACAGTCAAGTATTCCTTTCTCATTCGGTGGTAAAAAGGGAATACTCAAAGGTGATTGGTCAATTTTTACAAATTACGACATATGGCATATGGTTACGGCCAATATAAACGCTCTCTTATGATTAATGGCTTAAGGTAAATTTTCACGAGCTGCTCAAACCGGTTGTTTCAGTGACAAAAAAAAATTACGTGATCAAAATTGGCGAATATCAAGCATTCATTTTGATCACATGATCTTTTATCGCTGAAACAGCCGGTTAAAGTAGCTTGTGAAAATTTACCTTTATTGCGGTTGATTTGGACGTTTTCAGCGCTTTTTAGTACTTCTATTCTTATTTTAGGTCTAATGAACGATAATGGCAGAATGATAATTACAAGCGCTTAAAGCGCATAACCGTTCAAATCGACTGCAGCCATATATAGAAAGCCCATAAGAATATATCCTCACAAACTTGCATAGTTGTATAAACCTAAATAATCCACACAACTTGTATAGCCGTATAAACGTATGCATAAAGAAAATTATCCAATCACATTTTACGTGCGTCTTTAGAAGAAATGCGATTGGATAATTTTCTTTATGCATACGTTTATGCGGCTATACAAGTTTGTGTGGATATAGCCTAAGGGTATATCCATACAATTTGCATAGCCGCATAAACGTATGCATAAGCGAATCAACTAATCAGAATCTTTCCTTTCCTCCCATTCCATGGAAAAGAATAATTTTAATTGGCTGATTCTCTTATATACTATGCATTATGCGTTATACAAGAGTCTACAGCCATAAGTGGGGAGCACAAACAAAGCAAAAGATTTGGAATTATTTCCTAATAAACTTTATAGAATGCAAATTACAAAATATAACATACATTAGAAAATATTGATTGAAATGACTTTTTGGTCTAATGAGAATTTGCATCGATTACTATGTGTCATTCGAAATGAGACAATCAATAGATTTTCGTTTACGAAAGAGAATCTTGTTGCAAAGAACAATTCAAGAAAAGGAGTCGTTTTTCCACAGGTATCGAGTTCCTCGGGCCAATTTTCATCAAGCTCGGTCAATGGATCTCCACGCGATGGGATATCTTTCCGCGGGATGTTTGCGACATGCTTTCGCAACTGCAACGAAATGTGACACCGCATTCATGGCAATATACAGAGCGCATACTCGAAACGACATATGGTCCTTCCTGGCGGAATTTATTTGTAAAGTTTGACGACAAGGAACCAATCGGCTCAGGATGCTGTGCGCAGGTATGCAACCCGAGATAGGGTGGGCACGAGTAGAGGATAGATTCGCACATAATGTAAAAAGACAGGTGTACCGTTGCGCATATGATATCACATGTTATGACATAACAATCGTAATGAGACAATAAGAAATGCTCAGAAGTGCAGAGCGAAGTGGAGCAAATGTACAGCAGTGCAGTGTATCACTTTGGGTACAGTCAACGCGATGCTGCAAACACTTTGAAGCGTTTTTTAATTGGTCAGTTTGTAAAATTCTTTCTTCTAATTGGTCCATCAAAGCATTTGTAGCGAGACTTTGACCACAGCCTTTGCAGTCATATTGAATTTTGACATCCTGGACGATTTCTGATTGGCTCTTTACTTTAGACAACTGCACATCCAAATGGGAATGGTACACCTATCCTTTTGCATCATGGATTCGCATATACTTGTCGCATACAAATTGGATGTACACTTGCGATGGAATGAACGTTATTTGCACGACTTTTCATCGTCCAAAATTGATGTTTAGGTGTATAAAGCGTGGATCGATCAGAATGCAACATGGGAGCCTCAGATATCGCATTTCGTGGATAGTAAGTTCAGAAATATTTTTATCACTTCCCTTGCATACGTGTAGCATCGCCGCGGTAGAAATCACACAGGCGATTTCGCGAAAGATCACTTTTGTTATAGTTTCATCTAGAAGAAGCGTTCATATTTGATACTTGAATCTGCCTGGATAGATTTATATTAGCATTGTTCGTTTTGTCTCTCGGGAGCTGCTCGGGGTCGCTTCGAATGAACCCCGCGTATTTGAAATGTAGGATTCACATTATGTATGATATCCGTCATACGACGTTCATCGTAACAATGAATGTCGGATGACGTATGACGGATATCGTACATAGAATCCTACGTGATGTGAATCCTATATTTCAAGCTAAGTTTACGCTAAGTTTATTCAGAGCGTCCCCGAGCAGCTCCCATCGTTGGCACGAGGGGGGGAGGAGGGGGTTCGTCTCAAATGTGAGTCGTTGCATGATAGCAGCACACTCTGATAACGTTGCATTTACGAAATAATGGTTCATACTACTGATATACTACTGTTGGTTCACTGTTGGACTACCTTAAATTTTATTTTTTACAAAATATATATATATATATTTTATAATATATATATTATTTATTGTTCGAATAAATATATTTGACATAAAATTTTATTTTTACTTTTTTTCATATTAATATTATATTTGGGTTTTCCCATTCTTCTTTAATTTTACTTTGTTTATTTGATCATTTATAAAATGTTTTAATTTTAGCTAAAACTCTCAATGAAAGCGACAAATTAGCATCTGCCAGTCCGCGTACCAGAAATTTGCAAACCATAGCGGTAAAAGTGTTGCATCCTGGAATCGAAGACCAACTCAAGTACCCTTTTTAAGATATTGCGCAAATAATAAAATAATTTTTAGTAATATTTCCTGCCAAAGTTCAATCGCCGATAAAAATTGCATGATAAATGAATGCAAATTCGCGCTGCGAATTAATGTCAGTACGTTGATTGGATATCGCGCGTCGCATGTTGTTCATCGCGTCGGAACCATATTGCTTACTGCATACTGGACGACGATGTATTTAAATACATACCAAAGATATTCTATATTATATATTATATAAGATATTATATATTCTTTATTATATATATTCTGTATTGTATATAATTTACAGAAGGGACATTGCAATAATGCGTGGTTTTTGCAAGTTCATCATGTACTTCATTCCAAAATTGCATTGGCTCAGTCTCACAGATTGCATCGACGAATTCGCACGCATAATGGAAAATCAAGTAATTTATTCCTATGACTATATTCATCCTTACATATTCATACTAGATAATCTGAAAAAAATGTGCCTTAATATTATGTATTAAATATAAAGGTTGTTATACTTACATTAAGAGAAAAAAAATTATTGCAAGTATTATAATTTAACTATTATATAATTTATAGTTATTTTGGGATTAACTATAAATTTATAATTGTTTTTACTATGCACATTATAACTGCTTCAACATTGAAATATATGATCATTATAATTGATAGGCATTAAATTTTTTTCCTTACCACATTTCTTAGTTATTATTACCATCTAAATAATTATATTAAGAAAATGGTCATATTTCATTCAGTATAATGACGATTGCATTTATTACTTATTAAAAATGGCTATTTTCATTTACCATTCGTATCTTTATATTTTACTATAAATATTAATAGTTCTGATTATTATAATTTACAATATTCTCATATTTGAGAGAACTATACATATAAGATTATTATTACTAATCTGTAATCTATATGTTGTAATACAAGCCATTAACTGTAATAATCAGATAAAAAATGATCAAAATGAACATATGTATTTTTACTAAAGACAGAAAATACGTGAAAATATATTTGAAAATAAGTTTTGAAATACAGATGCTCCAATTTGAATATATCTTAGATAAGATTCAGATATAGGCATAAGAATATATAAAATGTATCTCCATGCGTATATCTAGATACATGTAGATACATGTAGATACTACTCAATACTAGTTGAAGCCTGCATAACTTCTATGAGTTCGCGAGACAAAATCAACAAGAAATAGTCGCTTTATTTGTGACGAGAACAAGGGATAATCCAAGCAATAATTCGTTTCTATTGTGCCGGATTCAATCTCCGAGTGATCTGTAGTTTAAAAACAGCGAAAATGCGATGGCACGCATTTAGTTACATTAACTTTTGTAAAGGTTGACATGCGACTGGAAGCTTCTAATCTCGTGAAATTTGCGGGGAATTTCTCGAACAGAAATGACATCATATTCCCGTATCCTTACACACATCTGACTCATCGCGGGATACTCGTTGAGAGTTTCCACGAAGGTGCACCGATATCAGATTATCTAGAATACGACGATGCTATTTTACAGCGGAGACTCGCCAAGATAGGAATCACGATGGTCCTTCAAATGGTTAATATAACTCGAACGATTTCCAATCGGTATAATGAAATGTACCAAAATAAAGAAAACGAATTAAAACTTTCTTTTTTTGATTTTGAGAAGATTAATGTTAGATTTATTCCAACGAGATCTAATTGCAAAACTTTAAAAGATTGGTCCGTTTTTCATAGCGCTTTATTATTATACAACTTTTGATTGAGAATAATGTGTGAACAACCGTTTGATTGTAGATATTTAAGGATAACTTCATCCATTGTGACTTGCACCCAGGCAATATTCTAGTCGAAAAAACAGTCCCGAAGGCGAGTCTGTTCAACATTTTTTGGCGAGCCATTACCTCCGATTGTGCAGAGCACGACTCACGCCTGATCATATTGGACTGCGGCCTTGTGGTATCTCTAAATGAACGCTGCCGACAAAATCTTCGAGATGTTTTTTATTCGGTGCTAACGAAAAACGTAAGCCAGAGAAATAATGTTCACTTTCTATTAACATGCGCTCTTTGCCTTCTTAATAATAAACTTATTAAATTAAGGAGAACTTATATAAGCTGAAGAAACACATTTATTCTTTTTCCTCTCTATTTTTCTTTCCTTACTTTTGAAGTGCTTTTCTCTAGTATTTTAGTGAAGAAAATGTTCGGAAACAAAATATCCATTTTTATTGAAGCACATCTTTTCAGATGTCTCTAGGGCAAAGGGATTATTCAATATTCAATATAAAATACACGGTAAAATATTTACGATAAAAGCAATCGACTATATGAACGTAAATTTTTTTCGTGGAATGACGATTTAATTTAAACTTAATTGCAATCGCATTTTTTGACACACTTTTTAAATTTCCATTCCTCAATATATATATATACATACACACACACTTTTTATTTACTTATATTTTACATACATACCATTTTATTTCGCTTCAGTGAGCATTTTTTGCCGTGTGTTTTACATTTCTTAAAAATAAACGATTGACGATTTACATGCAAAATTTAACATAGGGCGAAATGGCGGCGCAGTATATCCTGGAGCATAGTTCGCACATGACCCCCGACCCAGATGGCTTCAAATGTTCAATTAGAAATATTGTCAAGTCTCACTTTAGCAATTCATTGAATGTTAGTAACAGGTATTCTCTTTAAAGCTCAAGAGATCGCTGAAGCGGCGTGTCGTTTTTCGCGATCTCTATTTTTAGGATAGTCGCTCGATTGTAAGAGATTTCTTAACTTTTTAACTTTGACCGTGTTAATTTCATTACTTTTCATAATCAATCTTCCGTTTTTGTTTTTAATATAACTATGCGCGTAAACATTATGTGAGATACTGTTGACATTTAGAGGGAACCTATAAAAATCATCCTAGTTTACTATCAATCACATAGCTTAAGGGAGAATTCTAGTAGTCATCCCACTTTATCATAAACTCCATTAATTGTATCCTTCAAATTAATTTTACGGATTAAAAAATCGTTTTTGCTTTTTAGAATTAAAGTACACACAAAAAACATCCGAAGCACTGGATTTCACGAAAAAATACAGAAAATTAAAAAATTCACTTTTGGCTTATACAGCTACAGCTGTTACTTGAGATTAATATTTATTGCTGTAAGAATTTTATAGTTCATATATTGAAAATAAGCGATTACTATAGGAGCGAAATTGAAACGTACGAAATAATTTACTCAAAGAAACGAAATATTTATTTACGAAAATACACAATTTATTACTGCGAAATAAATATTTATTTGCATCGAAAAAATTTGTTTCAAGAAAATGCGTATTTTCTTGTTTCTCTCTCCCCAACTTTCATGTTTTTTACTTCTTCTCGCACGAGATATTATATTATATTCAGTGATTTTATTTTTACATTTTTAATTGATTTAGCAGTTAAACCTTTTAATGATACTTGTGCAATTTAACTAATATTTTTAATAATGTAAATCAAGTAATTGAATACGGAGATATGAAGACAGAAGTGATAGTTCACGACTGTCAAAATTTGATAATGAGTATAATCTATTGATTTCTTCATTTAAGACGTTCGAAAGGGAGATTGTTGAATTTTAAGACTTTCATTCATCTATGTGCAATATTTTCATTTCCTTTTTGAGAGATAGTTAAATAAGAAAAGTGTAGAATCTCTGTTCAATAATCATCATAGTTAAAAATTTTATTACTTTTTATATCTTATCAAATGAACTTTATTTGATTCCCGTACTTTCTTTGGTGTTTGTGATAAAAATCAGTAAAAGAAAAGAATTATAGTCTCCCGGATGTAACAGTATTGTCAATATTATTCATTTATTTTTATTGATATCTATATTATAATTTATACATGTGTATTATGATTTCCATATGCGTTTTAATTTTATTGCTAAATAATTAGATATTGATGCATTACAATATTAATTTTAACCATGATTTTTTTGTTTCTTTTTTTCCGTGCGTTGTCCCGGGTATCTGCAGGTAAACATAAGTACCGTTGTGTCGGAATTGTTCTCCGCGATGATTCATCACCAAGTCAAGCAAGACGAATCCTTCAGCGGCGTGATTCTTAGTATATTGGTGATCGAGAGCCTCGGTCGGTGCCTGGATCCTGAAATCGCTCAACAGCGTTATATACAAGTGAAGATGAGACTCTCTAAACAAAAGTTAATTATATATTCGAAATAATTATTGGAGTATTATTTTATTTGTACCTCTCTCATACAATAAACAATTTAAGTAAAAGATACAGGACTCTCGAAAAAATTATTAATTTGGTAATCTGAGAGTTCATCTCATTATCAATTTTCTTAGCAGGATGTTCATATGATCATTTTTTTTAAGCTGACTCGAAGTTGAGTTAAAACGTACGAATTATGAATAAACGATTGAATTATTAAGTAACTACTTGTATGTATGTGTAAATAAATTTGTATGTATATATAAACTCTGTACGTGAAAAATGCTTTAAATATTTATTAAGATTTATATTTCAATCAAAAAAATATTTTTTTTTATTTTAATCATAAGACATTTTTTTATAATGCGTACTGTCGAGAAGACTTTTGTTTGCTCAAAAGTCCGCATTTTTACTTTTTTATTAAAATTAATCTCCTGTAAAACTGAATGTTTGTATCAAATTGATACTTGACAAACTTTTAGTTCAAACTCTAAGGAATAGTTTAAGCAGCATTTTTACTGTTCAAACTCGAGTTCTTGTATTAATTATACAGCATAAAAGAAAAACGTACTCTTAATCATCTTATCCTAATTGTAAGTTTATAACAATATCTCATGATTTTTTTCTACATCAAAGAAATTACATTGTCTGAAATTATATAATGTGTTAATTTATTTGTCGGACATATATTCTATAATAATACATTCATTTTTATAATAGAAAGTATATATTGTGTGTGTGTGTGTGTATGTGTGTGTGTACACACACACGCGCGCGCGCACGCACGCACGCGCACACACATATATAGTACATGTTACACATTTATTAATCGAGTATGTTTCATATAAATATGTTCTCTAAAAGGAAAATTTAATGATTGTGACATTTTCCTTGGTTATATGTATAATATGAATGTCGCGCGCGATAAAGATAGAGAGATTTGATTATTTTCTTTTTATCTGAGTACGCATTGTTTGGTGCGATAATGGCTATAAACGATAGTAGTCTTACTTATTTTGGTTTAATAACTATGAGACAGTATAGTAAGCGAGAATAACAATATTTTTGTTTAATTTTTCGAGGTCTATCTTATGATAATATTACCAACAATCTCGAGCTATCTATTGAAATCGGTTCTTAGTTTAGTATCAACATTAAACTTCATATTCAGCTGATCTTCTTAACGCTAATGGTTTATTAATCCTAACACAATTGTTAAATATATCTAGATAGTCCTCCTCGATTTTAAATTCTCAACGAGGGATGCAATTCTTTTTTTTATCAATGAGAATTATATCCTTTGACCACAACTTTAATGTTTTTTGGCAAGTTTGTTGTAGAACCTTTGTTGACACTGGCAGCCGTAGGCCTCATAAAACTATGACCCTTTAAGCTGATTCGTGGCTGCATTAATCTGCTCTTCGTTGCGTATGTCTTATCACCGGAAGGCAGTCGATTTCCTAAGATTGATTGCTGACCTACGCTGCTTCCACTGCTGCTGCTACGCGAGGCGATCGGCCGGCCCCTTGTGACTTTTGGCATGCCAGGTATCACCTATCGATTAATAATAAAAATCGAAAATCTCGAATAAAACATTTCAAATTTGCTTTGCAAAAAAAAGCGTAGAATTATGTCATTTTTTTCCGTATATCAATTAATTCTTTGGCTATATCTGAGCTGAATTGTAGACAGAATGGTTGCAAAGCTTTTTCTTCGATGGATTTCGGAACTGCAACTTGCTCACCGAGCGATTGATCCTTATTTATAGATCATAAATTTATACATATATTTAGTTAGAATTATACATACTAGTAAAATAATCGTAGTGATCCATTTAAAAAAATTTGTTAAACAGTCTGATTTCGTCGAGGAATAAATTTTATTAATGTGTTATTCATTGTAGTTTCTTGACTTTATCGAATTTAACAGTACAGCTCCTCAAGAAGGAACATTCGCAATGTATGAATTGTGCGATTACCTTTGGTTTCACTAAAAATACATGACTTCAATTTATTGTTAATTCGCTAAAAAAATAAGACCTAAAATAAGACCGAAATGTTCGTTGTATATAATCAAAGAATGATATAAGCAATAAGAATTCATTTGCGTTATTGACATATAATATATACGCTAACGTTAACTGTGGTGTGCTCTCAGTTGCCTTTAATGTTCTATTATTATTATTATTATTTTAAACATTGACAGTCTATAAAAATATTTTTTCTATAATTTTATAATTTTTAAAAAATTTCTCAGATATTTTTATATAAATTATATAGAATATATGAAATATCTTGCTGAAGACATACGATACTTCTAATGATGTTAATAATATATTTTTCAGCTTCGATAGTTCCTGATGATAAATAGGACGACATTTTAAAAATATTAGAATTACTGTCTACAGGAGTTTGAGGATTTAAAATTGTTTAATTTTTGATAATATTATTTTCTAAAATAGAATACAATTAATAAATGTATGCGGAAAACCCAAAATGGACAAGGTTCTCTTTGAAATGAGAATATATTGAATATAATAAGATCTTTAAATTATAATTTTGAAGCATGCAAGAGAACTAAATGGAAAAATATGATTTGAGTACTATGAGATAATTTATAATCTTCATGCGATTATATAAGATACAGCAGAGTAATATTTTATTTAATTTTTACTTAACGTAATGCTTTATTTAGAATTACGAATCTGTTTTATTAATAACAATTAATCAACTGTTTTATTAACATCAATTATATTCGGTCGTCGTGCCAGTACCTTTTTAAGATCTTATACTGCGCATTCACACCTTGGCAGAAAAGCAGAAAGCGGAAAAGTAGTACTTAATCAGAATTCGTGCTGATAGTAAGTGGTACAAAAAATCGAAATGTCGACTACCAGCGGGACTTTTGATTAACTGCTGCTTTTCCGCTCCCTGCTTTTCCGTCAAGGTGTGAATGCACCCTTAGGCCTGTTCTTTTTGGCTGAATTTTTGCACCAGTTCATCTTTCTTCCTCTTCTTTCCTCCTAGAGAAAAGGAAGAAAGATGAACTGGCGCAAAAATTCAACTAAAAAGAACAGGCTTCTTGTATCTTTTAAGATTTGAATATATACAATATAAAATCCTCTTTTTATTTAGAAAGATATTTGAATTATATCAACCTCGGATTCTTTTTGGACGCTCCTTATTGCCGGTCCGATGTTGCTACTGCTGTTGTTGCTTCTACTGGCGGGTATCTTGCTGGTGCCCATCTGACGAAGACTTGATCGTCTCTTATCGACCGCGTCCTTCGATGGCAACGGTCTGCTCAACGGACTATTCTTCCTCAGATCATTAGTCAGCGCTCGGATAGCCGAAGTATAGTTCTGCAGATGCACGCGATTCGCGGCCAAATTCCTCACCGTATTAACGGATGTCGCGCTGTTCAGCGAGCTCCGCGAACTGCGCAGACTACTTCTCGAACTGGAACGTTGCACTTCGCTTTTTGAAACTTCTGTATCGTTCAATGGTACCACATTCGAAGTTCTTTTCAGAGACTCGATTTTTCTCAAAGCAGAGGATTCGTGCTTCGCACTTGCGGTGCGTTTTGGCAAAAAGTTGGATTTTTCAGATGCGTTCCTCGCGATCGTTTTCTCGTTGAACGTCTTACCGGAAGCCGGCATCAGCAATTTGTCCACGGATGATTTCCGGCCGTCTAGATTGTCGTCATCCACCGCGCTACGTCGAGGATTTTCGCTGCTATAGCCGCCCAGTTCAGCTGGTGAGCATCGCATCAAGTCATGCGTATCCGTCTCGTAATTGCCGGAAGACGTCTCCTGGCTTAAGGTTTCCGATACGAGGCTTTGAGTCTCTTCAAAGCCTTCATCATTTAATTCCTGATCCCTGCTTTTACCAGACAACGGCGATGTTGTTACACTTACATCAGGGACCAATCGGTTGCGAAATATAGAGTTCTGTCGAATCGCGGTCTGATCGCATGGATCGTCCACAGTCCGGACTTTCTCGAATTCTCTTGTGCCCCCAGTGGATTTTAGATCCACACACTTCTCTTCTTCTACGATCTCAAGTATATCGTCCTTCCGATCGCGCAACGAGTTTCCGTTTCGCGAAAAATCATTGATGATTTCCTGATTTTGATTCACTTGACTAGGTGGATTGCTGGACAAACGGACCGCTTCCTTCACCTGACTTGGATCGATCATGCTCCGATGACGTTCGCGGCTTGTCACTGCTCGCTCGGTAATCACTGTGACAGGCTCGCGCGATCGCGATTCTTGCATTACCGGACTCAACACGGTGTTAGTCACCGCTAACACTGGCAGTGGTTGACTGACAGGAAGTCGTGAATTTTTATGACCCATTGTCGATGTTGTTGTCGTCGGCACTGAATGCGACAGACACTGAAGATCCTCATCAGAACGCGCGGTCTCCATTAGAGCCGTATCGCGTCGCTTCAATTTATCTTGCCAGATACGCAACATGGCGTCTGCATCCTCGTGGAAGATCTCTTCATCTGCCCGGGCGAGGGTATTAGGTTGCTGCACCGTCGATTTCTCATCGTGAACCATTTCGAGACTCAATACATTTGATTTATCTTTGTTCCCCATGAGATCTAGAGTCTTCCTGTACCTGCGAGTTCGTCGCGTCGCTGAATATCTATCGAAGTTACCTAAAAATCGAGATATATTATTTTATCAATTGAAATTAATTTATTCTGAATCTTACTTTTTCTGCTTTATTTATTTATTCTGAACTTTTGAAATTGCGAAATATATGTATATTAAGAAGATTTCAAAGACGTCTGATTAAATATTTTATATTATATATCACGTAATGGCCTTGAAAATTATCAATTTTGTAAGCATGTGTGCGTGCTTCTTCATTCAAAATTCTCTCTACCATTCTTCTCCTTCCCTTTTTAAAATAATTAAGTATTTTCTTGCCGTTATTGCAGATGACTTTGAGCATCATTGATTTTTATGCAATATAACAAGCGATAAAACTTTCTCTTTGCATTTTGAAATGTCTGAGAAGGAATATCTCTGCAAGCTACAATTATCCTATTTTGTAGTTTCTCGATTGTATCTGGAAACGTTCTGAAAATTATTGGATAATTTTTGTTTAAATAATTGAGTACGTCACAATGATAGTCTG